AAAGTGTGTTTTAAACACTATTTCATTCTATTTTTAAAATTTATTGATAATGATTTAAAAGATTTTATATTTGACGTTTATCCCGTTAAATTTTGGGGCTGGAGCCCCTTATGAAATATAATTTTTGAATGGGATCGACACAAGTAAAATTTTAGGGTGGACACAATCAATAAAATATATAATTCAGATATTAGGAGATATGTGTCCACCCTGAACTAAGATGAATCTGTCGCTACTCAGATAATATAATATAATTAAAAATAGATTTTATCAAATTATAGTTATGATATATTTTTGATGGAGCTTCATAGTTGGTTCTTAAAGTTTGTTGATCACTCCATCTCAATTAATCTCAATTGTATTTAAGAATTGGCCGCTGCTGCCAGTTTGTCATTAGTATGTTAATTTATGTATAAATAATTAGGATTTTGTTCACGGGATTCAGTGCTCCCTACCACCCATTAGTTAATAAACCTTTTATGGAAATAGCAACATATATCATTATCTAACATTTTATTAGATTATATTGACAAACTCTTCTCATTATATCGTACTATTTCATTAGTTTAGATTTTACTAAACCACTTTAAACTAAAAAAAAAACTCAACATTAAACTCAAAATTTATGAAACTTTAAATCACTTAGATCTATAACATTCACAATCCAATCAAAATGGAATCAAGACATATAATTCCCTTTCCCCTTCTCTCACTATAACAAAATTGTTCTATAGCGACGTTTGGAGAGTAAACACCACTAACTTTAAATATATAGTGACGTTTAGAATCCAAACGCCGCAAATGGTAATTTTAGCGGTGTGGTGTTTCTTTAATAAGCGCGGTGATAGAGTAGTACTTTAGCGGCGTTTTTATACAAACGCCGCAATAGGATTCGTTCATAATCTTAACTTATGGTATTTTTACACACAAAAAATAAAATAAAATTTCGAGACAATTTCATAAAATTTAAAGGAAAAATATTTAGTCATAACTCTGTTTAGTATTTAACCACGTAATGAATAAAATATAAATAAATTAAAAAGTCAATAAATAAATTAAACATTTAAATTTCAATAAACATGATGAGTAAAAAAGTATTGAGCGATAAAATCTATAATTTACGGAAAGTAATCCGAGTTAATTCATGAGCCTTCGGAGCCTTTCTGATGTGCCCCCATGATAGATTATACAGAAAAATGTGTAGTCGTTATCAGGCATAGATTCAAGCTGATTCGGGTGACCGGCCATCTTAAATCCATCCTCCTTAGCAATAGATAGGTCGGTTTCAAGTCTCAAAAGCAGGACAAGTGAATATTGTACTCAATGCACGGCTGCCACTTACAAAATCAAATAATTAAGTTTTGGGGGTCTCACCTCCTACGCACCCTATCACTCTGCTGATTATCATATTGACAGAGACATTATCCGAGGCATTCCCCACACGAGCAGCATAAACTCGAGATTTAATACACGAACAGCCTACTGTTAATTACTTTCCCCCATACAAAACAATGTAGGAGCAAAAACAAGAGCAGGCAGGCAGCAGGTCAGCAGAAACAGGAACTAAACCATCGTACAATGATACAAACCGTGATTGACATTACTTCGTCTAGTTGTAAGAACCAAACAAAAAACGACAGCTCGGTATGTTTTTGCGAGATTCTCGATTGAGAAAAAAAAACAATCTCTGCATGAAGCAGCTTGCAGGACCCGATTATTGCATGTCTTCGGTTGAAACTGTGTGCGATTCAACCACAGAAAATGGGCGACCACATCTTTTCCACTGCCTGTACTGCTCTCGAAAGATCAGCATGCAGTGTTTTGCATGTATAGGAAATATACGTAAAATTTTAAATTAGTAGATGAACTTATAAAATATTAAAAAAAAGATGAATTATAAAATTTTAAAAGATAAAAACTTAATTTAAATAAAAAATATAAAAATGCTTTAACTATACAAAAATTTAAAATTAGTATAATTTAGGGACTAAAACTAAAATAAGTAGCCAAGTTTTATTAGAAGGGCAACAAAGAACCAGTTGGCAATGCCCATTGCGCCATGTCTCCTTCCACATCTCTCATGCACACGTGTGTTACTCCACGAGATGTGTTGTGTACTTTGTAATAGATTATACAGAGATCATGATAAGATCTTGTCCCCTCGGGTTAACTTTCTTCTTTACGGTCTAACTTTTGTCGTCTTCTTCCTAGAAGAAATTAGAGTACTGTTCATTTAATTAGCAAGGTTCAATTCTATACTACTCCTTGTACTCTTTGGACTTTTAAAATTTAGTCTTCTCGAGTTTATTTTTAGAAATGTGATCCCTAACCTTTTCTGATATGAAAATTAAAATCTAACAAATTAATTACTCACTTAATGGAAAGTTTGAGGCGTTGAGTCTTACTAGGGAAATACTAAATATTAAATTTATTGAGCGGCCTTAGTAATAAAACATAATATTGTTCATACTAAAAAATTTACTCAAACAGTTGTGATTACAAGATCTATGTGCGTTATTAATTGACTTTGAAAAATAGTTGAAGTAAAGGGATAAACTTGCATGTTATCCCGTTTAACTTCAAGACGGTACATGGATTAAATTGAAATATTAATTTGTTGAAGGATCTAGAAATAGAATTCTACCACAAAGGCTATCATCAATTAATGGATTAATTAATTAACGTTTTTGTGAATATATAAAACAAATCATGTAAAAGGTTGTATTTGACCGGTTGGGTTCCACGAGTCAACTCTCAAGTACAAGCTCAACTGGCATTAAATAAAATAATCTTTTGGTAGTTGAAACAATTAATGGATCATTTAACTACAACTAACCCGTGATTATAAATAATCACTCGAGAGTTTATTAAGCTGACCCGATTGGATCTTAAATATAAGCAAGTAGCGAGTAGTTTTGCTAGTTCCAGGTGACACTGGACAGTACCGGTCACGTGGCTAGCAGTGGTTGAGCTAATATTTATAGTTTCGTGGAGGTCGTGGAGAAGGATCCTATGGGTCTTTCCAAGGCCAACCACCTGGCAATGCCTCCATTGATTTGGAAAAAAGTGGAGGGTTCGTAGCACTTCACCCCGCCGACAATTTCTTTGAGCGTCGGGGTTTATTTTGTACTAAATAAGATAAACGTAAAATATACAAATAGTGTCATCTAATTATAAGATATTATTGTGTTAGATTCTTCATTTATTAAAAATTATAAAATAATTATCTAATTATAGGACATTTTTTTATCAAGTTCTTTAGTTATAAAAAATTATAATATAGTCATTCAATGATTTATATGTTTGAAACTTATCATTTTTTGTTAAAAAAATAATAATCATCTGAGCAAGACGTTAACATGCTAAATAGGATATGATAAATAAATTCCCATAAGTGTTTAAACTGTATTTTATGGATAAAATATCCGTTTACATTATGTTTTCAAGCTAGTGTTTGGAATATTATGTCACCAAATCAAAACACCAATAAAATTATTAAAATAAATTTTTATCGTATTTCATTTAACATATCAATGTCCAGCTCAGGCAACCATCAAATTTAAATAAAATGTTTGACAACATTTTAATAAAAACATTTACATTATTAATTACACATTATTTGTTGATGATATGTAAAAATAAATATGTTAAATAAAAATATTAATACGAGTGAATTAATTAATCAATAATAAAATTTAATTAAGTCAAATTTTTAAGATCTAGATAAAAATTGAAAATAAATTTAAGTGATTTTAGTGATAAAAAGAGAATATTATTTTCTCGGTTAGACCTAGATTTGGGAAGTTATATTAATATGGTGATTTTAAATATATATTATCTTATAACAGCATTAAATTATTAAAACAATAAGGATTATTAAGAGAAGCAGAGAAATAATGAACGATTTATCGAATGTATTTCGAGAGAATAAACAGAAGCAGGTAACAATAAAATAAAATCTAAAGTAAAAATAAAATAAATTAAAGAAGAGTAAACCAACACGTGTCAAGCAGTTAATAATAAAAAATGAAGTAAATATTACGTATAAATTCTATAATAGAGTAAATCTTATTAAATATTTAAATGTAGATTGACAAATGTCAGATAGTATATTCCATTGGCCCAATTTGCATTTTGCTTGTGGCTTATTCTAAAGGCCCAATTTTCGGCTGGCAATACTAACTGATGTTTTAAGGTTTTGGGTAAACTACACGGGTTTGATTGAATTTATTTTAATTTATTAAAATTATGATCAAATTAATAGAATATAAAAGTAATGGAGACTAAATGTGTAATTATATCAAAATATTTTAACTTCCATGCCTTCTACACCGCTAAATATTAACGGCATATGACTTAATTGAAATATTTAAAAAGTTAGGTGGTCTGATTGACAAAATCAAAACATCGGTAGTCAAAATAAAAGGAATCAATAGTTGAGTGGTCACCCGTATAATTTACCCTAAAGTTTTATATTATCATTAGTCGGAGTTAAATTACACCTACATAACCATTGCTAAATTTATTTATTTTCCACCTTACATGATTATAATATATAAAAATCATACTTATTTGTGATGTAGTATTTATTTGTGCTTGAGGTTTTTTTGGATGAATAAATGAAATTTATCAAAAAAATATAATATATATAATTATTTTTGAATAAGGAGGCTAAAGCAGGAGATCAACACTTTACGCAATGAGGAAGTAGACCAAAATTGTCATCGTACATAATCTGGATTAGCTGAGTGGGGGTGACTCGGAAGTACCTAGGGATCCATCCGAAGGCATCGCATTTAGCTATGAAGTTAGTCTTCAAATTGACTTCGCGACTGATTAGAAGAAAATCCATCATCAATACTCTGCGGCAGAGGCTATCAATTGCACGTATTAGAGCGTGTGAACTTGAGTGGGAGGATAATGGGCTTGGCATCTACGTTTGTAAGGGCTGTGTGGGTGTAACCGGAATCTATAATTTGAGAGCATCAACAACCCGTTGTTGACGCCGGAACGATGCCCTATCTCGTGAACTTGTTAAAAATACGTCAGGATGCTTGTGATTCTCGCGGAGTGAATGGTGTTTTAAGGAAAACTGCTGATGCTATAAGAAATCTTGCTCATGAAAATGCCGCCATTAAAACCCGCATCAGGTTCGCTTGTTTGTATATTCTCCTATCTAGTTTCCGTTAGTATTAACTTTTCACACCCTTATAAGCTGTTATTTTCCCCCATATATCAAAATTAGAACTGAGGGTGGAATCCCACCTCTTATTGAGTTGCTCGAGTATCGTGAAGTGAAGGTGCAGAGAGCAGCTGCTGGGGCCTTAAGGACGCTAGCATTTAAGAACGATGAGAACAAAAAGGAGGGTAAATTGTTTCTGCACTGTATGGTAGTACCATCTAGTGCACTGACCAATCTGTACATCAGAGAAAAACTATTTGAGAAGGCAACATCTACTTTGAAGGAAACGGAGAAGAAGGCATCTCGAGTTATCCCTCTCTTCTCAGTTTGCATACCAACATGGGGGATAAAGGTGAGGTTCAACGAATCTGGAAGAAGATGAGATCGTGCTTCCGCAAAATGAATGATGCGGAGTATACGTGTATGATATCGTCACTTGTGAAACTTGGGGAATTCGAAGAAGCTGAGAAGGTCTATAACGAATGGGAGTCTGATTCGGGAAGCGACGATCCTAGTGTTGGAGAAAACGGGTTATTTCCCACACGAACGTAGTTTTAAAATTGACATAAAATGTCAAGATTAAAACCACCAAAGGTTGCACAGCGGATAAACCTGTCAAACTATTGAATATTGAAACACAATGAAAAAGAACCGAATAAAAAACAATAAAGGAGAGAATACACCAAATTTACGATGTTCGACGAGAATATCGTCTACTCCTCGGGCACCACACCGGATGATAACTTCACTATATCGCCAATATTACAACAAATGGAATTCTTTGGAATTCCCAAAGTGGGAGAATGAAGAATACAAGAGGAAGAGAGAACTTGATTTTGGGATGATTTCTAATGGAAATACTTAGGCCTATTTATAGTTGAGTTTCAAGAACAATATGTTCAAAGTTTGGCCACCTACCAAAGAATTTTCCAATGTGTACAAGTTAGCCACAAAATATGAAATTCACATGTTCAAAGTTTGGCCACCAACCAAAATGAAATTTCAATAAGTTGGCCACCAACCAAGATGAAATTTCCAACTTGTCAACTTAATTTCTAGACAAATCTAACAAATCTCCACCTTGGCTTGAAATTACCAAGCCTACTCAACTTCTTCAACTCCCCAAATTTGTAGTGTCTCTAATTGCGCTCACAAGCGCCACACACCCGAAAGTGTTCATACTTTCAGGATGTTAATCAAGTTCAAACAATGATTGAACTTTATTACTGTTACCACCTTGGTCATCATATCTGCAGGATTTTCTGATGTCGCAATTTTCTGAAGTAGAATCTTTCCTTCTTCAAAGATCTCCTGCACAAAGTGATACCTCACGTCGATATGCTTAGTCCTTGAATGGTAGACTTGATTTTTTGCTAAGTGAATAGCGCTCTGACTGTCACAATAGAGACTAATGTGACTTTGAATAACTCCCAAGTCTTCCATCAATCCGTTAAGCCAAATTGCTTCCTTTATAGCCTCTGAAACTGCCATGTATTCTGCCTCTGTAGTAGACAAGGCCACCGTAGATTGCAATATAGATTTCCAACTTACTGGGGCTTTAGCAAGAGTAAACAAATACCCAGTAGTTGATCGACGCTTATCCAAATCACCAGCATAATCGGAATCAACATATCCAACCATACACTGACCAAGTGCTTCATCCTGTTCAAAAACTAAACCAACATCCACGGTTTGTTGGAGATACCGTAGAATCCATTTCACAGCTTGCCAATGTCCTTCTCCAGGATCATGCATGTACCTGCTCACAACTCCAACTGCTTGTGAAATGTCAGGACGCGTACACACCATTGCATACATCAAGCTCCGAACTGCATTAGCATATGGAACTTTTGCCATATACACTCGTTCTTCGTTAGTTTTAGGAGATAATTGAGAACTAAGTTTCAAATGAGAAGCCAATGGGATACTTACATGTTTGGTATTTTCATTCATGCCAAAACATTGTAATACCTTTCTCAGATACTGCTTCTGTGTTAAACAAAGCTTCCCTCTCTATCTATCTCTGCTTATCTCCATACCAAGAATCTTCTTGGCCTCACCTAGATCTTTCATCTCAAACTCTTGATTCAACTGAGCCTTTAATTTGTCTATCTCCTTTTGACTCTTCGAAGCGATCAATATATTGTCAACATACAAGAGAAGATAAATGAAAGATCCATCTTTGAGCTTTTGCAAATACACACAATGATCATATTTGCTTCTAGTATACTTTTGCCTCCTCATAAAACTATCAAATCGCTTGTACCACTGCCTCGGAGATTGCTTCAATCCATATAGCGATTTGTTCAGCTTACAAACCCATTTCTCACAACCACCATCTTTGTATCCTTCTGGCTGTGTCATATAGATCTCCTCTTCTAAATCACCGTACAAGAAAGCCGTCTTTACATCAAGTTGAGCTAGCTCCAAATTCAACTGTGCTACCAAGGCCAACAATATTCTAATGGAGGAATGCTTCACAATAGGGGAAAATACTTCATTGTAGTCGATTCCCTCCTTTTGAGCGTAGCCTTTAGCTACCAACCGTGCCTTGTTGGGAACATCTTTCTTGTTATAAGATCCATCTTTCTTTACAAATACCCACTTGCATCCAATGGCTCTTTTACCTTTTAGTAATTCTGCCAGTTTCCAAGTGTTGTTCTTTTGGAGAGATTGCATTTCTTCATCCATGGCACTTTTCCACTTATCACTTTCCAAGCTTTGTATTGCTTCTTGGTAAGTGATAGGGATATCATCATCAACAACTGGAATAGCATAGTCCACCATATCAACAAATCGAGTAGGTCTACGAATTTTTCTCCTTGGCCTTGTAACTGCAAGTATTTCTGGTGTCTCCAATGGTTCTTGGGTTTGAACATCTTCATCTTCTGATTCTTCTATTGGAGTTGAAGAATCATCCGCATCAACTTCTGGGATCATCGTCTGCTGAAACTCCACCTGTTTTGGAGTATGCTCCATCTGCTGCGGAGTACTACTTGTCTGGACAGCTTCACTTGTTACCTTCTTTACTAGGGCAGATTCATCAAAGGTAACATCTCTGTTACAAATTACATTCTTGGTGTCTAAACACCAAAGGCGGAATCCCTTCACTCCATGGGTGATTCCCATAAAGAGAGCCTTCTTTGCTCTCGGATCAAGCTTGGATTCATTCACATGATAATAAGCAGTGGATCCAAATACATGTAAGGAATCATAATCAGTAGTAGGTTTTCCAGACCATACCTCCAATGGTGTTTTTCCTCTTATCGCTGATGACGGCAGACGATTAATGAGATGGCCAGCATATGTCACAGCCTCAGCCCAAAATGCCTTGCCTAACCCAGCATTAGACAACATACATCGAACTTTCTCCAATAGTGTTCGATTCATACGCTCTGTCACCCCATTCTGTTGTGGTGTATGTCTAACAGTGAAGTGTCAAACAATACCATACTCATGGCAAACGTCAAATAATGGGTCACTTTTATATTCCCCTCCATTGTCCGTCCTAAGACGTTTGATCTTTATATCAGTCTGGTTCTCGATCATATTTTTCCATTTCAGGAAAAATTGAAGCACTTCATCTTTAGACTTCATCGGATACACCCAAACTCTTCTGGAAAAGTCATCTACAAAAGTTACAAAATAATGGTTTCCTCCAAAAGACGATGTCTTTGAAGGACCCCATACATCTGAGTGAATATAATCTACAATACCTTTTGTATTATGTATAGTGGTGCCAAACTTCACTCTCTTCTGCTTTCCCAGAACACAATGTTCGCAAAAGTTCAATTTGCAAGCCTTTGCACCTTTCAACAATCCTTTTTTTGCCATAATTTGCAAGGATTTCTCTCCAGCATGTCCCAACCGCATATGCCACAACTAGGTTGCGTCCAAATCATCACCTCCGGAAGCTGCTGCAATTGCTCCAATAATTGTACTACCTTGGTAGTAATATAAATTATTTTTCCTGATGCCCTTCATCATCACAAGTGCGCCATATGTGACTTTTAAAACTTCATCTCTCATAGTGACTACTGAGCCTTTGGATTCTAAGGCTCCCAACGAGATCAGATTTTTCTTCAAACTGGGCACGTATCGGACATCCGTCAGAACTCTGGTTGATCCATCTTGATTCTTCAATCGAATTGAACCTATCCCAACAGTTTTACAGGCATTGTCATTGTCCATATAACACAACTCCTGCATTTAGTTCCACTAAATTGGAGAACCACTCCCGATTAGGGGACATATGATAGATGCAACCCGAATCTAATATCCACTCATCGGAATGGAATGTTGTTGATGAAGCAACCAATGATATGTCAGAGTCATGTGCATCATGCTCTGCAACACATGCATCTAGAGCAGCTTTTCCTTTCTTCTTCAGCTTCGGACAATCTTTCTTCCAATGGCCTTTCTCATGACAAAAGGCACATTCATCTTTTCCCAGTCTGGACTTCGTCTTTGATCTCCCTCTCCACTTTGGCTTTTGACTTTTCGAGCGACCTCTTGCCACCATGGTCTCTGCTGCTTCGTACTTGCTCTCCTTCTTGGTTTTCTTCCTGAGTTCATAACTATACAAAGCAGCAGTTACATCTTTAAGGGTAACATTATCCTTACCATGAAGTAACGTTGTCTCAAGGTGCTCAAATTCATCTGGAAGAGATGACAACAACATCAACGCCAAATCTTCATCTTTGAAGGTTTCATCCATGCCCAATAAGTCTTCCACTAGCTCATTGAACGCAGTGATGTGTTCATTCATACTGGTGCCCGGTTGATAATCAAATCTGAACAATCTTTTCTTCATGTGGATACGATTCTGAGAGCTTTTCTTCAGGAATTTTTCCTCCAAAGCTTTCCACATCTTACTTGCAGAAGTCTCGTTCTTGTAGCCATACTTCTGCTCCCTGGAAAGACAAGATCGAATCGTGCTGCACGCCAAACGATTGATTGTTCCCCATTCTTTCTCCTCCATATATTCGGGCTTTTCTTCCTCAATGGCGATGTCTAGACCTTGTTGGAATAAAGCGTCTAACACCTCGCCTTGCCACATGCCAAAATGACCGGATCCATCGAACAACTCCACCGAGAAATTTGCATTTGACATCACCCTCCTCACCGGTCCAGATGAAGAGCTTGATGTCTTAACTGATCCGTATTTTGGCATTTTAATTCTAACGAACAATATTCAATATCACGAACTGTATCTTTTCAGCAACGGAACCACCAGGATAACCTCAACCGAAGCTTTGATACCAATTGTTGGGGAAAACAGGTTATTTCCCACACGAACGTAGTTTTAAAATTGACCTAAAATATCAAGATTAAAACCACCAAAGGTTGCACAACGGATAAACCTGTCAAACTATTGAATATTGAAACACAATAGAAAAGAATCGAATAAAAAACAATAAAGGAGAGAACACACCAAATTTACGAGGTTCGACGAGAATATCGTCTACTCCTCGGGCATCACACCGGATGATAACTTCACTATATCGCCAATATTACAACAAATGGAATTCTTTGGAATTCCCAAAGTGGGAGAATGAAGAATAAAAGAGGAAGAGAGAACTTGTTTTTGGGATGATTTCTAATGGAAATACTTAGGCCTATTTATAGTTGAGTTTCAAGAACAATATGTTCAAAGTTTGGCCACCTACCAAAGAATTTTCCAATGTGTACAAGTTAGCCACCAAATATGAAATTCACATGTTCAAAGTTTGGCCACCAACCAAAATGAAATTTCCAATAAGTTGGCCACCAACCAAGATGAAATTTCCAACTTGTCAAATTAATTTCTAGATAAATCTAACACCTAGAGTTCCGAACACACTCCTCTCGGCTTACATCAATGGAGATCGGATCGAAATGGCCGAAAACTTCCTTCGGCGAATGATGCAGAAGGGTATTTCCCCGTGTTACACCACTTGAGAACTTCTTTCTTGGGGTTATTTAAAGAAACAACATACGGGGAAGGTATTGGATTGTTTTAAGCAAGCTGTCGGGAGTGTGAAAAAATGGAATCCAAATGACAGATTGGTTGAGGAAGTGTTGAAGAAACTTGTAGAACTTGGTGATACTGATGGGTTGGAGAAATTGTTAATGACTCTTAGGAATGCTGGGAATGTGAATACTGGGGGTATATAATTCACTTCTTCGAGGATATGCAAAAGTTGGTAAAACGCCACTTGTGGTTGCTGAACGAATGCAGAAGAATAATGTGCCGATGGACGAGGAAACGTATCAACTCATAAAATTAACAAGCAAAATGGGCGTCAGTGAAGTTTCAGGCAGTTGTTAAGATTTACTACGAGATTAAGGAAAAATGAAGATTATTACTCTACAATTTATTTATTTTGTTGTATTTTTACGATTATAACCATGATAACACAATGTGATGACATAGTATTTTTAAATTTGATCAACGTGTTTTACTTAGGTTTCATGCCAAATTTAAGCTAAGCCTAAACATAACGGATACAATACATATACTTTAAGGACTCAATTAAATATTTTGAAGTTTGAAGACTAATTTAGAATATTTTCTATTGTTTTGGGACGTTTGACGAATTAACCCAAGAAAAAGTCAAAGAAAGTCAAAAGAGATATTTTTAGGTTATAAAATAAGCAACAATACAAGAGATCCCTGCCTTTAAGTATCAAGGATTTCTAATAACTAAACAGTTTTCGATACTCGAAAATACGGTCATTTTTGTCTTTCTTCCCACTTTCAGTGGACAATGGAAGCAACGCTTCTCGGCTTTCATCGACTCAACCCTAGCCTCTTATCGACAAAACCTCTTAAAATTCCAGGTTAGTATTCCCCTGTTTGGTTCTTTAGAAAAATCTCGAAGTAAAAGGAGTGAACATTAACAAAGAAGTGTTTAGCACCGTTTCTGTCAGTTGGTTGTTTCAGTGTTTGTGCGTGATTTTTAGGTGATTTTATTTACAGATTATTGATATTTGGGATTTAGTTCGAAAGAACTTGGTTAACATGCTTTTGTATTCTGTTTGGGAAATGCGGTTTTGGTTAATCGGAGCTATTTCTTCGTTGATGATGTTCTAACTAGGAATTTAATTTTTTAAGTGGAAAATACTTTGAACTCTAGGCTTCTAAATACGTATTATTTATGTTTGTTTTAGTTGTGTTCCATTTTGGAACTTCATTTAGCTTGAGTATTTCAAGTAGGGGGGGATAAGTGATGTTGAAGCTGAATAACAGCCACAATACAAATTTGGTGGAGATAGAGATTTGTCAGGCATGCTCAGATATTTTACCTTAATTTTTCTATATTTAAATTGGTTATACTTCTCTCTAAGTCTCTAGTTGAAATGAGCTGGTGGGATCGATACAGTGTTAAATTTGATGTGTTAATGGGAAAGATACTTGGTATGCAGATGGACATGTGGCTCGGGACCTATGGTTTTATCGTCCACTTGATACCAGATCCCACCGGGTGCCCAAGATGAAATTGGTAGACTCAAGTAGAAGCCATTTTGTGCTGCCAAATAGATTGTTCCAGTCAAGAACAAGAAGTAAATGGTCAATCAAATCTTCAGATCAACTTCGAAGTGACTATGTCAATGTCGAATCATCATCTTCTGAGTCTCTAAATCTGGAACTTGTTCGTTCAAGTTTGGATGATGGGGCAGATGCTTCCAATTACAATGTTGTTAATAACATTGAGGCTTCACGTGTTACACCAAAATATTTTAGAAATAGGTTTCTAAACTTTGTACGGTTGAGTTCTGTCTTGAATAATGCCGCAGAATCATTCTTTAAGAGTGAGATTCGGCGGAGGTTATTTGTGACAGCTGTACTTCTTGTAATTAGTCGTATTGGATATTTCATCCCTCTACCTGGATTTGATAGAAGGCTGATACCTCAAGATTATCTTAGCTTTGTCTCTGGGTCTGTTGGTAAATTCTGTAATCTAAAAGAAAAGCTTGCACCTTTTTTTCATTCCTTTTAAACTATATCGAGTTTTATCTTCATTTACAGTCGGTATTGTTGATTAATTTTTGTCTATAACAAATTTGTGGCCTTTTACCCCCTTTTGGTAGATGATCTGGGTGATTTTTCTACGGAGCTTAAACTGTCCTTTTTTCAGCTTGGTATCAGCCCTCAGATTATTGCATCCATAATTATGCAGGTTTGTAACTTTTCTTTTGTCATATGGGATATATTTTCTTACATGATTGTGTGAGCTTTTAGATTCCATATGTGCTCTTCATTTCATGCTCTGAAAACTATTTGCCACCATCATGTTATGTTTTAAGTGGAGATAGATAGATGTTGAGTATACCTTCTATGTTCTTTTAGGACGGAATGGTTTTATGAATGGCCAAAAATTGTTTCCTGTAATAAAAAGCTCATATGATGAGCTTAGTTATTCTTCTTTGGCCAATGTTCTAGAGTTTAATGGTACATTGGGGTTCTGGAGTTGCTTTCTTTTAGTTGGGATAAAATTACTATCTTTTGATTGGGTAGATGTACGGGACTAGGAATCCCGTCATATTTTGTGCTGATGCTCTTCTGTAGTGTAATTAGGAGTGGTTGTAAACTTTTCTTGTTCGTTTAGTCCTGGCAACCAATGTTTATGATCACCGTAGATGTATTTGTTAACTTATCTTTAAAAGAACAGAAGAAAGATTTTCTGGCCAAGGGAAAGATATTCCAGAGAATCTTGCTTTTGGCCTAAATTTCTTTTGTTTTTATGAATTCTTATATTTTTGGTGCTTTCTCATGTGTGTCTCTTGAATTGATTGAAAACAGGTACTCTGTCATATTGTTCCATCGTTAGTGAAGTTGAGGAAGGAGGGATTGGATGGTCACGAGAAGATTAAGAGTTATATGTGTGTCTAGTTTTTTTATCTCAAGCAGTGAGACGAGTCCTTGCTACATGTATAATTCTTGAAGAAGTTACTTGAACGTTTACAAAGCATGTTATTATTCTTTCATTGCAGATGGTGGATTTCACTTGGCTTTGCAATACTAGAAGCTATTATAGTTTCTTGTTATTCTCTTCCCTATTCAATTTATGCAGCCAGTTACAGGTACTTTAGCAATATTAACATGAAAGCAACAATTTCTGATGCTTTTGTTTCTCACAAGAAATTGGCAGCATATGACACATACTCAACCTTTTCCTGGAATAAAGCTTAAACATAATTTTCACATTTTCTCTATCCATTTTTTCCATCTATTCCTTATGTTTGAGCTTTTATTTTTAAACTAAAGTCTTATGTTTTTTGCAGGGTTAAGCATGTGACGGTAACTGCTTTTCTTTTGGTTTGTGGTGCGATGACTATGACATGGATCTGTGATACGATATCAGAGTCCGGATTTGGTATCATACATATTACATTTATTCCTTATTCATTCCAATTGTTACAGACAGGTTTTTAATTTAATAAGAACAACTGACCAAATAAATGTAATCGCAAGCGGTTATTTTCTCTAGAGTCTATAATGAGGGAAACTCTGGGAATAGAGCTTGAAGCAAAAAAGTTTATTCAATGTGCAGAGACCTTATGTTGGATTGGAGGAAATAATGGGAAATAGTGATAATCTTCTCATATGTTCACCTTGAGACGGGAATTACGCTTTTATCCAAGATTATAGAAGTTCTAGAAATTCATTAAAAGTTTCAATCTTTCTCCTTATCCAAAGTCGAGGAAAGTTTATATGAAATTGGTGTGCTTTATAAAGGCCTTTTTTCTTACATTTTGAAAGCTGCATATTACTGCGATGTTTTGAGTATTGTGGCCTTCTTAAATCACTGCTTGTGTGTTTCAGGTCAAGGTTCATCTCTAATTATATGTGTTGGAATATTAACCGGATACACTGATACGCTGTACAAGATGTTGACTCAACTCTCAGGTATGCCATATGTGCTGACTAAGGTCTCTACTTAAGTTGGGTGGAGCTTTTGTCAGAATTATAATTTTTTAGTTAAAAACTGTCATTTTTTAAAAGTAAAAAATTATTACATGATTTCTGTTTTCCATGCAAAAACAAATTAAGTTTGACTAGGTAAGCAGCCTGAGGCTGTGGTACCAAAAAATTGATTTCATTGTAAAGAGTACATTCTGTAGCTATTTCAATGAAAGTAATCCAGTATGTGGGTTATAGGAAGGTGACGGAAGTGGTGGGAAAATTGTATCTGTACACTAGTCCTTTAGTGGTTATTTGCTCAACTTCAACGGCCGTGGTTTCCGTTGATGTGGACATTTACAGACCATTAAATTGAGAATTTGATGCTATTCTTGGAGTTCTGCATTTTTTTCAGTGTGCATCATTATTGGTTTCTTGCATCCACAGGCAGTGCTGTGAGTTGGTGGCCATACGTGCTTGCAGTACTAGGTGTTTTTACTGTAGTCACCATGTGGGCAGTTGTTGTAACTGAGGGTTGCAGGAAAATAAAGCTGCAGTACTATGGGTTTAAACTAGCTTCTGCTGCAAGGTAAAGTCAGGGCTACTTACCTAGACATTAGATGCACTTGGTGGAGAGACATAGGCTTTGTTTCAATTCTTCTCTGTGCAGCATAGATGGTACAGTTCACAGCTAATCTGACCAAGGAGCAATAACTAATTTTATGTGAACTAGGGCTCTTGTTGAACCCGTTTAAGTAGATTCGTACCTTTCAGTGTTTGTTTATTAACTTATAATATTGGTCATACGATCTTTCTCAATGTCATATTTTCTTTGTTTTGTGTGTTGGACAGGGAAGATTCCCCGATCACTGAAGTAGAACCCTATATTCCTTTTAATATTAATCCATCAGGAATGCAGCCTGTTCTCACTACCACTTATCTATTGGCTTTTCCAAGTATTGTTGCAAGGTAATTGTGCCCTTAAGTTGATTTAAATTCTTATTTTGAATCCCCTGTTCTATTTGCATTTTTTGGGGTAATATTCTTTTGATGCATTACATAGCTTGGGCTTGTTGTTTGTGTTATCCTACGGGCTTACCTTAAAGCTATCTTTTATTGAATGCCCAGAAATTATCTTAACACATTGCATTCTTGGCAGTATTCTTGGTTCACCATTTTGGGAGCATATTAAGGAGATATTGAACCCTGCAACATCTGTTGGTGCAGAGCCATGGGTTTACTATTCAATATATGCGTTTTTTGTTTTTCTGTTTAATATATTTGATATTGTAAGTACTTTTGAACCTTTGTGATTCTAAGTTTTTGATGGTTACCTGCTTATTGTCTTCCATTGCTATCTAAATTTCTTATGTTGCTATGATTTATATGATTATATCTTCTTGCTATTGCTTATTGGGTGTTGGTGCCAATAGAAAGTAGTGTATGATTCTTTTTTGCTATTATACTAGTTTTGCTCTATTTTGTTTAAAAAATAAAAATAAAAATCCTAGATGGACTGCTGCACATTCAATGAGAAATATTGGGTACTTTCGAGCTATGAACAGAAATGATTAATGCTAACAGGATTGGACTTTATGCTTTGATCCATTTTCCTATTTGTATACATTGGACTAATCTTCAAATCTAATAATCAATCCTTGAATTTGTTTATATGATGTGTTTGTTTGAAGAATTCTGCAATTCTGGTTCCTATTATTTTATCCACTACTCATTACTTCTTTCTGTTTGCTATTTGTGTGGAAACTCCTGTGCAGGCCAACTTACCGAAGGAAATAGCAGATTACCTGAATAAGATGGGTGCCAGGATACCAAATATAAAGCCAGGGAAGGCTACTATTGAATATCTCTCGAAGGTTCAGGCATCAACACGTTTTTGGGGTATGTTTCTGTCTGAAAAATAGTTACATTATGTAGTTGGAAGCTTATGCGCTAGATGTTGAACCTACTTATTTCTTGTGGCGTTCTTGGCTGTTTTTTGTCATCAAATCTGCAGGAGGGCTACTCTTAAGTATTTTGGCAACTACATCAACCATACTTGATCATTACTTGCGACGTATCAATGAGGGATTTGCAATCGGATTTACCTCAATTTTAATAATTGTAAGTACAATTCTGAAGGCTTGTTTGTCAGTGCATTGATGCTCAGTTTTATGAACTTGCTTAGAGCACTTGATAGGAAATCAAATTATATCAGCAATTGGAGTAAATATCTATGAAACACTGCTCTTTTTAGGTAGGATTATCACTCTGTTTTGCATTTTCATCGAATGCATCCCTCCATTTTGATTTAGGTGGGTTCTATAATCGAGCTAAGAAGATCATACCAAGCATATAATGTCATGCCCAGTTTAAGCAAAACACTGAGGCGATATGGGGTGTAACGTCCCCAAAGGCACTTTGCAGGTGCAGCCCGTGAGGTATTTTGCCATTTTATTTTTATAATTACTTTAATAGAATGTAATCCATGCTTCATGTTTCATGCTGTCAAATGATTAAGAAAATATTATACTTATGGCGCAGGGATCCTCCCTATACAAGAACTCAATTTCGTTGGTACAGTTTAGTTGAGCTGCTTCCTTTGGGAGTAAAAGATAAAAGGCCGATCTCAATTATTATTTGGTTAATCAACTCATAAAGCAGGTTCCGATTCTTCCGATTCCGACATTTCTGGATTCATTCATGGCTACAATAGTCTACTATAGTATGTGAGAACGTGGGTCCATTTTACTTCTGAGTTGTTCTAACAGTAGTAGTCCGAGACCGTGGACGTACGGCAACATGTTACCCATGTTTCGACAAGGGGATGGCCCCCGATTTCCGTAGATCAAGGCAAGTTGTACGGTAAGGTAATTTGATGGAGATCAACATGTTACACGATTACTTATTGCAGCTTGCCTTGTAGTGCATGAAGTGTAATCTTGTAGGTTGGATGGTTGGTGGTCTCTAAATCATGCATCTTTATTTTCAATTTGGCCGACTACTTTCGACAAAATAACATGAATAAAATTTGTCGCAATTACAAACACTACCCCTTTGGAAAAAGAAATATGATTTACATATTCTTACCATTTTTTACGACATTCAAACATTCTAAATAAAATAATAAACGCTCATACTTGATTATGTATAATAAGAATTACTAGATGTAATAAATATGGATCAGTTTGATTATATATAATAAGAAATACTAGAAGTTATAAAATGATGCAAAAATGTATGCCCATCTTATCTTTAATATGCCACGATAGTCACATTTATCATTTTAATCATTTGTGAATGCCTCTTTGATAATACATGACTCAGTATCTCAACATATTTTTCAATTTTGTCATGATACGAGGCAAAGTCATGTAACTTGATGTGATTGTAGTGTTCATGTTTAAGATCACCTCCATTCCTTCTTGGAACTAGTAGCGTTACTTGATAGAAAAATTCTATAATGTTGGCTGGATGAGTACCGTTAACGATGAGTACCGTTAAATTAATTTATAAAAGGTTAAATTATAAAGTATTAAACGTATAATTATAAGATAGTTAAAAATCTAAAAGTAATTTAATTAAAATAAAATATTTATAAAACATTAGCTTTTAGGGTAAACTATATCATTGACCACCTAACTATTTACTTCTTTTACTTTAACCATCGATTTTTTAATTTTATCAATCAGATCACGTAACTATTTAAATATTGTCAATTAAGTCACATGTCGTTAAATACTAAAGGAGGAGATGATGTGACAGTTAATAAAATTTGTATAATTACACAATTAATCTTCATTACTTACACATTTTATTAATTTGGTCCTAACTTTTAATTAATTCAATAAATTTAATTCTCAATCAGATGGTGACATGTGTCACTATGTGATTGTATGCTTTTTTCTTTATATTTTTATTTAATTTAATAAATTTTTCATCCAATCAAATGGTGTCACATGACACCAATTGAATGAATAGAAAATAAATTGAATCAATAACCGTTGTTGGTTGGGTTTGAACCCAAGACTTGAGGAAATGAAGCAAATACCCCAACCACTAGGTTGTATCATTCAAATGACAAACCTATCACGACATAATATATATATTTAATGGTAATAAAAAAATAAAATGATCTAATAAGAACTCCAACATGGAATAATTGAATAATATGATAATATGATATATATATATATATATATAACTGATTAATATGTGAATGTATGTTATTTATATTTTAAATCATTTTAATGAAAAAAAAAATTAATTTTAATATATTATAAATGAAATACAACGAAGAGCTTCGTTGACTTAGAATTTTTTTTATAGTTGAGGGTTTATCGTAGTAAGCATTTTAAGTTATGCATTGACTAGTTTAAATCCCAGTTAGAGTAAGAATTTTATATTTTATTATTTATTCATTATATATTTGAATTTTTTTTAGGGAAAACTTGATTTTATTGAATTAGTCTATTTTAATATAGAGTTGTTAAATAAGATTCAAATCTGATCGACGTTATAATATTTTATAATATAAGATATGATATGACACATTTCAGTTCAATATAATTAGAATAATGAAGACAATTTATTAATTTAAAATATGTAAAATGATACATTTCAATTATAACATACTAAATTTACTTTATTTTAATTTTTACATTAAATGTGATTTAAAATATAAATAAAATATATTCACTTATTAATCAATTATAATATTGTTTATATATATTTTATATTTTCATACTATTCAATTATTTTATGTTTGATTCTTTATAAGGTCATTTATTACCATTAACTATGAAATGACTATCCAGCTCAGTTGGTAGAGCACAAGGTTCTTGAATTAACTATATTATAAACGATATAGATTATGTTTTGTATATTAAACAAATTTGGTAGTCTAGCTTAGTGGTTAAGGGTTTAGTTTTTTTTGGCTTTCTCCTAGGTTCAAACCCCACCAGCAATAATTACTGATTTAATTTATTTTCTATTCATTCAATTGGTGACATGTGGCATCATTTGATTGGATGAAAATTTTATTAAATAAAAAATATTAAAAAACATCCAATCACACAGTGACACATGTCACCATCGGATTGAGGATTAAATTTATTGAATTAAATAAAAGTTAAGACCAAATTAATAGACCGTGTAAGTAACGATGACTAAATGTATAATTATACAAATTTTATTATAGTCATGTCATCTCCTCTGTTAATATTTAACGACAGGTGACTTGATTGACAATATTTAAATAGTTAGGTGACCCGATTGATAAAATTGAAAAATTGGTGGTTAAAGTAAAAGAGATAAATAGTTATGTAGTCAATGGTATAGTTTATTAAAAAACTAATATTTTATAAATATTATATTTTAATTAAATTACATTTAGATTTTTAACTAATTTATAATAACACTTTTAGTACTTTATAATTTAATATTTTATAAATTAATTTAATGATGCTCATCATTAATGATGTTCATTCGTACTCGTCAAACGTGACAACATCATTACACTTGATAATTATGAATTGAAAAATGAGTGGCAGCATCATTATACTTGATAATTATGAATTGAAAGATGAGGGGCGTTATTTGATAATTACGTGGTATAAACTAAGACTATAAATGGAAATTATCGATTCGTGATCTTTTCATGACTCTATTAGTAACCACGGTTGAAAATCAGCACATATGCATTAACTCATCAGTGTCAAATCTAGTCCATCAGGTCTAATGTTGGAGTCATAATAATTAAACGAATAAATATTTTTAAAAATAAAAATACAACAAATAATGATGCATAAATGTTAAAGAACCAATATATATATATATATAAAGAATATAATAGATCAAATATTAAAAATAAAAAGAAATTAAATTGGCCGTATTGGATCTCTTGAGTCCAAATTTAAAATATGATCAATCAAAAAAGATTTCGAAGTCGGATCGTAATGAGGGTGTTACATAGGAAATGATTATCGATTTTTCAAAATTTAGATGAGATGTTTGATTTTATTTAATGGGATATGGGATAAGGTGCTGATTTGGTGGGTGTAACAGATTTATGCCTAATATTTGAGGCCAAAAAAGTTTGATATAAGATTATGTGTTATTATAATATAACTTAATAAATTATTATAATGTTAAAATATACTTATTATGTTATTAAAAAATAATAATAAGTGTATTTTGAATATTTTACAATTAATATTTTTAAAAAACAATAGTATAATATTATATTAATGTTAAATATATAATATAATATTATTTTCATTATTTACTTTGGAGTGAAAAATTGAGAAAACAATTTACGAAATTAAAAGTGTAAATCTTGTAATAGAAAACATTTTTTTTTGTTTACTAAAAAATCATTTACGTTAACTTAATTCATTGTATGCAAATTAAATTTTAAAAAATGAGGAAAATATTTTTAAAAAAATTAATTACATGAAACAAACACACTTTTAATTACTTAACATCAAATAAATTAAATTTAAGAATATATATATATATATATATAAGCGAGTACATTTGATCGCTTGGTTAAGTTGCTAGGATAAGACTCGCGAACTGGACATATTCTTGTAAATATATTATACTTATATGTTCAAATTAAAGGTGTGTCATGTTACATGTTTATGTAATTAATGTAACTTTTTTTCTTTGTTATCCTTCGGTTTCAAGTTTTTAACTGGACTAATCCGGACCGACTTGCGTGGCACACCTAGTTTTAGTGGGTGTATCTCCCAGTTGAGATTTTTACATACACAAGAACTCGAACTCGAAGCCTTACTTAAACGATATCAAATAGGGATGGCAACAGGGTGATTTCGGGCCGGGGATTGGTCCCCCCGTCCCCGCTTAAAAAATCACGGGGATTTAAACGAGGACCCCCATCGGGTAATCGGGGAAAATCGCGGGGAAACAGGTATCCTCGTTTACCTTATATGGTTATTTTTCACCGCGGGGATCCCCGTTACCGTTTAAATTTCATACGATGACACGAGTTATTTAAAAAATAATGTCATTATCGTATCTAAACTTACTTGAAACGTCAAACACCACCAAATGCATTCAAAATATAAAAACAAAACAATTCAAATAGACAAATATAATGACAACGACTAATAATATAATATTTTAACTTTCATAAACGAAATCATTCTTCCAAAGTAAATTAAATTTATATACTTTTTAAATTTAAATTAAATTTATTAATATTATATATATATAATAATTATTTTTAATATTTATCGGGCCGGTTATTCGGGTAACCGAGGCAGGATTACCAAAACCGTCCCCGTTTAAAAAATTCAGTTTTTCCCGTCTCCGTCCCCATTTATCATTCCCGAACCCAACCCATTTATCATCCCTGAACCCAACCCATTTAATTCGGTTTTCCCCGACGGGTTCGATTTTTTTTTGTCATCCTGAATATCAAACTACTTACCACTTAAATCAACTCCAACTGGTTGAAATTAATGTAATTGATGGGTCCCTTTGAATTGATTGTTATTAGTGTTGTGGGTTAAAATAATAAATACTCAATCTGATATAAACATAGCAATTGGTTTGTATTCAAACTGTAGATTACTGTAATAATTGATTGAATTAATTGTTATTAGATACCTTATTAATTGAACTTTTATTTCTAAACAATGTTTCCCTTATTTAAACGTAGCAATTTCACTGAAAAATCCCATCATCAAGAAATCACAACCGACATTTCTTAGTAAAAAAGCCTCAACAATATGAAAAACGACATGAAATTCCTCCTCCTTGTGCTGATTGTATCATGTAAGTTCATTGATATTTCATACATTTTTTCTTTGTTTTCGAACCAGCTGTGAAGTTTAGTTATATAATACTAAATTAATGGTAATTTATTTGCAGCATTTGCATGTTCAATGTTACATGGAGCATCAGCTAGGCCGGTGGAGAGTGGGAGTGAGAATGATTATGGAGAACAACGACCGTGTAAAACTAATGCCGACTGTAGAGATATACTGTGTGCTGGACAAGGTGGTGTACCTGCACTCTGCAGTGTTGGCGTTTGCGAGTGCGGCTAGAAACAAATATTCCGGTGACTTTGATTCGAACAAGTTATTTTCATAGCTTTGTTCTTCAATAAATAAAAATGAAAACTCTTAGATTATTCAATATTTTCCTTTTTATTGCATGCAATTGCAGTTGCAGAATAAAACTTGTCTTAAACCTTAGCAAAACCATAATTAATGCATGACATACATATGAATCAACCATTTCATTCTTTTGTTCGGGTTGGACATAATCGAGATGTTGGATTTAATCGAATCAAATTTAAATTTAAATTAATAAAAAGAATTATATTGTTCGGATTAGAACCGATAGGTCTAATCTAACAATGATATTGGAGTGGAGTGAAGAGACTCCCACTTGAGAAAAAGTGAATAAAGAAGCTCATTCCATGAGTCGGGTACTCCAGGCAAGCACCAATGGCTACAATCTTCGCCCGGAGGTTCCGTTTCGTTTTCTCTCCCAAAATGATACAAAGATGTATGCCCGTCTTGCCTTGTAAATGTCATAGGAGTCACATTCATCATTTCAATCACTTGTGGATGCTTCTTCGATAATACACGACTCAGTATCTCGGCATGTTCTTCAGTTTTATCAGGATATAAACCAAAGTCGGGAAATTTTATATGGTGACAATGTCCACCGGTGTTCCAGCTACCACGTCTGTTACAGGAAACCAATACATCAGTGATGAATTCTATCATCTTAAAGATATAGTAAGTTCGATGCAGAATGATTCAAACCTAAAATGTTCAGGAGCATAGGTTCGAAAATAAATTTGGGTCTTGTTGGTATTTACTTGACCATGAACAAAATTGAGTAAAGTTTCGATTGATTCCCGAAATGCGGTTGTAATGTTCATGTTTAAGTTCACCTCCGTTCCTTGTTGGAAATAGCAGCCACTGCAAAATGAATTGAAAGATGAGGGGCATTCCTTGATAGTTACGTGCTATAAACTAAGACCATGGATGATGATTACCGGTTCGTGGTCTTGTGATGGCTCCACCAGTGACCAGTGTTGAAAACCAGCACATCTGCACCAACCCATCGGTGCCAAGTCCGGTCCATAAGGTCCAGTCTCAGAGTCATCTTAACAGCCTCTGGAGCTCCTCTTGGAGGACTCCCATGAGCCACTAGAAATGGAACTCTGTAATATTCAACCGTGCAGTTATAGTCGGCAAACCTGAAAACCAAGAACCCTTTGTGCTTTGTGATGGGGCTTCCGTTCACCTCGTATATTGAATCCTTGTTAGGAATTGCAGAGCTAAGCATGCAGAGCAAGGACTCCCATTGGTTCCTCCCGATTGAGTCACCTACAAATGCAATGCGCCGGTTCCTTAGCTTTTCCAGCATCTTCGTTGCATTAAATCTGTCCCCAAAGAAATAGAAAAACCAGACCTTATAAGAAGATATCAATCAATAAATGCTTTCTTCTGCAATGGACTTCAAATTTCGTTAGAGAAAGAAAGGTCTGATTTTGATTTTAGTCCCTCCATTATGCTAAAATTTTATTCCATAAATAAACCAAAAAGAAGTTACCTAATGGAGGACAGGAGATCATGAAAACCACTATTGGCAACCGACATTATTATACTATTAAACTAAAATGAACCTTTCCTTCGGTCTCTTTCGACTGCTAAAAGAAAGCTAATGTGATGAACATAAAAAGAATAGAAAAATAAAAGATGAAAAAAGACCTGGGCAAATTGCAGGCTTTGGGTTGCCAACGCCACTTCGTGTAGAAACCATCAGGTCTACCATTCTCCAAACAACGGAAACCGCTATCAATGAAAGGGCAATGTTGACTCTGATACAGGGGATAGTTCTCGTCCCAAACCCATCTCCCATCATAAACATCACACTTATCCAAAAACCCAAGTCGTTGATCTACATCTGATGCCGGTGATGTTGCAGCATAACTGAGTTTAAACCAAGGGAATCCATGGAAGAAGAGAGCCCGGTGGTTTAAGTAAACGAAGCAGGCAATGAAGAGACAAGAAACCAAAGTGAAGGGTTCAACAAGGTTGGATTTCTTGGAGAAATCCAAGTCTTGTTTGGTTGTGTTCTTTGTCATCCTTACGAACGTGAAAAGGCAAAAAAAAAAAAAGCTTTTGGAGAGAGATGTCAGATGATGGTTTTAGAGTTAGAGGAAGTTAGATTGCAGGGTGAAGAGGAGGCCATGTGAGGATCGTAGCTGATTAGCGGCAGTTTTTGGACCTCATGCTGGTGCGGTCGCGAGTAGAAGAAAACGTGGGGAAAAAGTGAAAAGGAGCCTCGAACCGACACAATAGTGCTTTGCTAATTCAAGGGTAGGGGAATTCCAAGCTCTGCAACAATAATTTTAAGATATACTTTTGCAATTGTGAAGATATATTTGAATGTTTCATTTATGTCATTTGTGGCCCTCGACATATAACCTTGCCCTACTATGGATGGCAGGCAGAGGAGACTTCATATTCCAAGGACACACAAATCTTATTTGTTAGTACGATTGACTGACTATTGACACGAGGTTGCAATAAGTAGCCATTGCACCCTACTACTTGACATTGATGTATGCCTTTGGCAGGAACACCTATTTTTTCTAACCATCAATAATTTCGTTTTAAAATTATATTACTATATATTTTCAAGAATAATATTATATATATATATATAAATGAATTGCATTAATAACACCTGCCTTTTCAAGTCTTCCTCGAATATTTATTTCTCATCCTTCCTCGAATATTATTAATTTTAGATATCAAAACGCCCAGAACCCAACCCTTTTCATTATTTGCTGTGACTTTCTTGATTAATAATTTGGCTTCGCGGTTGCTAGTCCAATACAATTGTTGAAAAATAAACAAGTGGTCAAGCCAATTTCGATGGCAGCCACCAATTTTATAAAAAAGGGTTGGTTATTTGTTGAAAATTAATAATGGTAAAATTTCAATTTTAGTCATTGTTATTTAGGGTATTTACAAATTAGTCCTTAAACTTCAACTATAAATACCCTAGTTCATTTAGCTTCAAAACCATCCCAAAGCATTCTAGCTTTCTTCCAATACTAGAGAGAATTTAGAAAGTTTCTTGAGAGTTGTTTTCTCCTTTTTATCGAGAGAGAATTATCATTGTTTTCTCCTTGGTAGATCGAGAGAGGTTGTAATTCCTATTTTCTCATAGTGAAATTCTTCTACCGTAGCCCGTGGTTTTTACCCTATTTTATTTAGGGGTTTTCCACGTAAATTTTGTGTCTCTTTTTATCTTCATTTTTATTTTCTCAAATTATCAGTTGCGATTTTGCTCTATCTGATAGCCGTCTTCCGCAACAATTGATATCCGAGCTAGATTAGAGTGTGTAATATCTGCTTATTGTCTTTGTGGTTGCCACCAAAAGGTGGATCCTCCAATATAAGAAAATAAGAAGTTATTACCCATTCTTTGAAGGTTCCAGAGAACTACTCATGATAGTGAAATAGTGGGAGCTATCCGTAAACGAAGCAATGGTAACGAAATTTGATATTGAAAAGTTCAATGGGAGAAATTTCTCATTGTGGAAATTGAAGATGAAGGCCATCCTAAGGAAAGACGGGTGTCTAGCGGCTATCAATGAAAGGCCGGTGGATTTTGCAGATGACATCAAATGGAACGAGATGGACGGGAATGCTATGGCAAACTTTCATCTAGCATTAGCAGATGAAGTATTGTCAAGCATCGAGGAGAAGAAGACAACTAAGGAGATATGGGATCATCTCATCAAATTGTACGAGGCCACATCGTTGCACAATAAAATTTTCCTTAAGAGGAAATTGTACACTCTCCGTATGCCAGAATCTACTTCAGTGACGGAGCACTTAAATACATTGAACACCTTATTTTCTCAGCTTACATCCTTAAGCTGTAAAATAGGAGAACAAGAACGTGCTGAACTTCTACTTCAAAGTCTACCTGATTCGTACGATCAACTCATCATCAACTTGACAAACAGTAATGCCACCAGTCTAGTCTTCGATGACGTTGCAGCTGCTGTTCTACAAGAAGAAAATCGGCGCAAGAAAAATGAAGATAGACAAGTAAATCTGCAACAAGCAGAAGCGTTGACAACGATGAGAGGGAGATCAACAGAACGTGGCCAAAGCAGCAGTCATAAACATGGTAGATCGAAGTCGAGGAGCAAGAAGAATTTAAAGTGCTACCACTGTGGAAAGAAGGGTCACTTGAAGAAGGATTGTTGGAGTCTAAATAAAATCTCCAATCCACAAGGCAATACCGCAAACACTTCAGATGATGGAGATGCTCTATGATGTGAAGCGTCAACCACCGTGGAAGGCAGAAAAAGATTTGCAGATATATGGCTCATTGATTCGGGAGCGACATATCACATGGTCTCAAGAAGAGAATGGTTCCATCATTATAAACCTGTCTCAGGAGGATCTGTGTATAGTTGCAATGATCATGCCTTAGAGATCGTTGGTGTGGGAACCATCAAATTGAAGATGTATGATGGAACAATTAAAGTTGTTCGAGATGTGCGGCACGTGAAAGGTCTGAAGAAAAATTTATTATCCTACGGATTGTTGGATAATAATGTTAGCAAGATTGAAACACGGAAAGGAATCATGAAGGTGTTCCGTGGAGCTCTTGTGGTGCTGGAAGGTGAAAAGATAGCTGCAAACTTGTACATGCTGAAGGGAGAGACATTGCTAGAAGCAGAAGCCTCTGTTGCCTCATGTAGTTCAAATTCTGCAATGCTATGGCATAAGAAACTTGGACACATGTCAGAACAAGGAATGAAAGTCCTTGTGGAGCAAAAGCTACTTCCAGGCTTAACAAAGGTATCACTTTCTTTGTGTGAGCATTGCATAACAAGTAAGCAGCACCGGTTGAAATTCAACACATCAAATTCTAGAGGCAAAAGTGTTCTAGAATTGGTTCACTCTGACGTATGACAAGCACCAGTAACGTCCCTAGGTGGAGCAAAATACTTTGTCTCATTTATTGATGACCACTCTAGGAGATGTTGGGTGCACCCTATTAAGAAGAAGTCAGACGTGTTTTCAACTTTCAAAAACTTCAAATCACGGGTGGAACTTGATTCTGGAAATAAGATCAAGTGTTTCAGAACAGATAATGGAGGAGAATACACAAGCGAAGAATTTGATGACTTTTGCAGGAAAGAAGGCATCAAAAGACAGTTCACAGTGGCGAACACTCCTTAACAAAATGGAGTGGCAGAGCGGATGAACAGAACCTTGTTAGAAAGAACAAGAGCAATGTTGAGGGACGCAGGCCTAGAAAAATCATTCTGGGCAGAAGCAGTCAATACCGCCTGTTATTTGGTGAATCGAGCTCCATAAACTGCAATAGAGCTGAAGACACCAATGGAGATGTGGACTGATAAACCAGTTGATTATTCAAACCTCCATGTATTTGGAAGTATTGTGTACGTGATGTACAACGCCCAAGAAATTTCAAAGCTGGATCCAAAATCCAGAAAATGCAAATTCTTGGGGTATGCTGATGGAGTAAAGGGGTATCGCTTGTGGGATCCCACTGCCCGCAAAGTGATCATTAGCAAGGATATTATCTTTGTAGAAGATAAGCTACAAAGAAAAGAAGACAATGACAGCGCTGAAAAGTTAGAGACTACACAGATACATGTAGAAAAGGAGTTTGAACAAGGAGATTCTTCTGAAGCAGAACCAGCACATGATGAACAAGAACCAGAGAGTTCTGAAGCTCCAAAAACTCGTCAATCAGATCGTGTGAGAAGACGTCCCAATTGGCACTCAGATTATGTTATAGAAGGAAATGTTACATACTGTCTTTTAACAGAGGACGATGAGCCATCAACATATCAGGAGGCAATAAACAGCTCAGATGCTTCACTGTGGATGATGGCGATGCAAGAATAAATCGAAGCCCTTCATAAAAATAATACATGGGACCTTGTGCCACTACCACAAGGAAGGAAGCCAATTGGTAACAAATGGGTTTTCAAAATCAAGTGAAATGGTGACGATCAAGTGGAGAGGTATCGTGCAAGACTGGTGGTCAAAGGATATGCTCAGAAAGAAGGTATTGATTTCAATGAAATTTTTTCTCCTGTGGTTCGACTAACAACAGTTCGAGTAGTCTTGTCAATGTGTGCTACATTGAATTTACATCTGGAACAACTAGATGTTAAAACAACTTTTCTTCATGGAAATCTTGAAGAAGAGATTTATATGCTCCAGCCTGAAGGTTTTGAAGAAGACGAAAAGAAGAACTTGGTTTGCAGGTTGAACAAATCTCTGTACGGTCTAAAGCAGGAGCCGAGGTGTTGATATAAGAGATTTGATTTCTTCATTATGTGCCTTGGATACAACATACTTAATGCAGACCCTTGTGCTTATTTCAAGAGGTCTGGTGATAACGATTTTGTTATATTGCTGTTGTATGTGGATGACATGTTGGTTGCAGGACCCAACAAAGATCATATTGAAGAATTGAAGGCACAACTGGCTAGGGAATTTGAAATGAAGGACTTGGGATCAGCAAACAAGATTCTAGGGATGCAAATTCACCGAGACAGAAGTAATAGGAAGATTTGGCTTTCACAAAAGAATTACTTGAAGAAAATCTTATCACGATTTAGCATGCAAGATTGTAAGCCAATTTCTACCCCTCTTCCTATTAACTTCAAATTATCATCCAGTATGAGTCCTAGCAGTGAAGAAGAGAGGATGGAGATGTCTCGAGTATCGTATGCATCAGTAGTGGGAAGTTTAATGTTCGCTATGATATGCACAAGACCAGACATTGCACAAGCAGTGTGAGTGGTTAGTCGGTACATGACGAATCCAGGCAAAGAGCTATGAAATACAGTGAAGAGGATCCTGAGATACATCAAAGGGACCTCAAATGTTGCATTATGTTACGGAGGATCAAACTTACTAATCAATGGGTATGTAGATTCTGACTATGCAGGGGATTTGGATAAAAGCAAATCTACAACAGGATATGTGTTCAAAGTTGCTGATGGAGCTGTAAGCTGGGTTTCTAAGTTGCAGTCAGTTGTGGCTACATCCACAACAGAAGCAGAATATGTAGCAGCTACACAAGCCAGTAAAGAAGCAATTTGGTTGAAGATGTTATTGGAGGAGCTTGGGCATAATCAAGAGTATGTCTCTCTGTTTTGTGACAGTCAAAGCGCCTTGCATCTAGCAAGGAATCCAACATTTCATTCAAGGACAAAACACATACGAGTTCAGTACCATTTCATTCGTGAAAAGGTGGAAGAAGGGACAATAGATATGCAGAAGATCCATACCAAAGACAACATAGCAGATTTCATGACAAAGGCGATCAATGCTGATAAATTTACTTGGTGTCGATCCTCTTGTGGCCTGTCAGAGACATAAGCAACATGATGGTACAAGGTAGAAATAATTGTGTGAAGATAAGATTGTTCCAATCAAATCTTCAAGTGGGAGATTGTTGAAAAATAAACAAGTGGCCAAGCCACTTTCGGTGGCAGCCACCAATTTTGTCAAAAAGGGTTGGCTATTTGTTGAAAATCAACAATGGTAAAATCTCAATTTTAATCATTGTAATTTAGGATATTTACAAATTAGTCCTTAAGCTTCAACTATAAATACCCTAGCTCATTTAGCTTCAAAACCATCCCAAAGCATTCTAGCTTTCTTCCAATACTAGAGAGAATTTAGAGAGTTTCTTGAGAGTTGTTTTCTCCTTTTTATCGAGAGAGAATTATCATTGTTTTCTCCTTGGTAGATCGAGAGAGGTTGTAATTCCTATTTTTTCATAGTGAAATTCTTCTACCGTAGCCCGTGGTTTTTACCCTATTTTATTTAGGGTTTTTCACGTAAATTTTGTGTCTCTTTTTATCTTTATTTTTATTTTCTCAAATTATCAGTTGCGATTTTGCTCTATCTGATAGCCGTCTTCTGCAACAACAATGATGTATAGCTCTACTTTCCAGGTTTCACTCTGCACTTATCGACAATTTTTTTGAATAAATTACAAATTTAATAACTCAATTTTACTATCTTTTATTATATTTACTGTATTTTAAAAGTTTTTAATTTAATCACAATTTTATACAATTTTAATCATAACATGACTCCAGAGTTGTAACCCCTTTGTGCATGTAACTGTATTTGAGCATATAGTTTCTCGTACCAAGCATGTAATTAGTCGACAGTTTGTTAGCAGAATCGAACGCGAGTGACCCGTCCACCACGGTCCGGTTGTCCCTTCTGCTGTGAATATAAGTCAGCTTCAACGGCTTATCTGCAACCCTAACTGAGTTCATAAACTGAAATCGAAAATTCTTTTTGGGGACGTCATAGTCGGTGATGAAGAAGTCGGGTTTCTCAACATCAAGAGTCAAGCCGTTCAGGCTGGGACCCTTGACGACAGTGACGTCAGTCATAGAGGAGCGGAGCTTTAGATCGCCAGCGTTGACGGAAAGGATAACAACAGCGGTGCTCTTGTCATTAGTGTATCTACCTTTCAACGACGCCTTAATTTTCCTTTGGAAGAGACGAGGAATCGAAACAAGAGGGAGAGTTTGGTGAAACTATCAAGTCCTTGGTACTTAAATGATAAAACTAGTAAAGAAATCTTAGTCATCTCTTTGCTGAATTCTTTGTGACAGCTAATTCTAGAGCCTTCATAAGGTCATTGACAAGTCTCATAACCTCAGCTTCAAATTTGAAAAAGGAAAACGACGAGATAAAGGTACTGGAGTTGTGTCCAGCGGTTTTAACTTCAAATTCTGAAGTTTGACTGTAGCTTTAGCCTTTAACCTATCCATGTCATAATGTAGTTATAAAATTAACAGCAGAGTGATAAAAAAAATTAATGTATAAAGTTGAGTGATTAAATTAATTTTTTAAGTTTAATGAGTAAAATAAAAGGGAGTAAATTTCAATTATTAAATTTGTAGTTTACTTTTTTTTCTATTCAATTGCCGAGAATAACAATCAGAGCAAAGGGTAAAGTATCTTTGATTGTAGGATATTCTCATTAAATTCATTACAAAATAATGTTAATTATAAAATATTATTTTGCTAAATCCAAACTATTAAAAGTTACAAAATAATCACTCGATTATAAGATATTGTTTCATTGTCACTTGATTATTAAAATTTATAAAATAATCACTCAATTATTCATATATTCCAAACTCATCATTTTCTGTTAAAAAACTGATGGTAATTTGAGCTAAATGTTAATACACTGACTTTGATATAATATATTATCCCAAAATCTCAAACAACTATCATATATCAATCAACAAATTAACATCTAACTCAAATTGTCTTCAAATTTTTAACGTCCAGCAAGTAATAACACATTCTAATTATTAAAATTTCGAAAGTTACAAAAATACTTACTAAATTTATCTTAAATTTATCCACCTTTTACAATTGATTTTAATGTCAGTTACAGTTCAATGACCATTTTGTAAATGTTCAATAAATTCAATGATCATTTTGTAATTTTTGAAACTTCAATGGCCAAAACAATCATTTTACAATAATTCAATGATCTCAGAAAATATAAACAAGCTTAACTAAAGTTCTCGTTCAACATCAATCATCTTTCAAGTACCAGGCCCAACATTCAACATTAACATGACATGCATCTCACAGTCCCAGATTGCAAGATTGTTTCCTATTTTTTACTGTCTCTCGTTCTAAAAGCAACAGATGGGAAAAGAAATAGACTACCTGCTCACCTATAGCATGAGACATTTGGAATCTTGGGATTCATGATTAAACCATCCAAACCCAGGTCAATAATCATACACGACAGTTAAATGCCATACAATTCCCTTAATATTTGTAAAATCGCCCCTAGAACAAAGCTGTCTACACATCAGACTGTCACAAAAATTTGGAAGCAAGGGAACAGAGTTAACGGCCTCGACCACGTCCCCGTCCACGCCCACGACCCCGCCCGCGTCCCAAAGGCTTTCCTGAATTTGACAATGCATTAGGAAAACCAACAATACTCAAAGAAAAAAAAAAGCTTAGACAAGTAGGAAACTTTCAGAGAGGAGAAAATGGAGCCAGAAAGAAATGGCAATACCAGCTGTTGGTTTCTTGGGTTTCACCCTAGGTGTCTCTTCAACCAGCAATGTCTCAAGATTTAAGCTGTCAGGTAGAATATAGTAGCGAATGTTGTTACCCCTCACACTAAGGTGATCTAAACTGATTGGATTTTTCCCCTTCAGTGTAAGTTTCACTGTTTTCAGATGGGTGTTCATACTGACATCCACACCTAAAACAAGCACATCAAATCGAACAGTTACAAAACTTGCATGCTAAAATATTGTGTTCAACAAGGAAATCCCTATGGTATAACAATTTTTAAAAACCAATACTCATGGTAAAAGCATATTCTGTCCAAATTAGAAACATAGTCACTGGTTTCATACGAACTCCCACAATTCAATAAGCCCAAGAAGAGAATGTAACAACTAAACAAAAATAATAATGTTACAAGAAGTCATCCAATAAACAACATGAAAAGAAAGGGCGCATATAGTAATAGTCTCATCACATAAATAAAAGTCTGCAAATGAGACAATTCCATCTTATACGCATAACCAACTAATAACAAGACAACCTAAGCGCGTATCAATGTAGATGCTAAATAATTTATCGAATATAATCTACTTCTAAAAAATGTTTCATAGACACAAGCATACCATGTCCAAAACCAGTTCAACTTACAAGGTGATAACAAGTGATTTCATCCATGAACACCTAATCTATCCCATATTTTAAAGTTTGTAGTTTACCAAAACGAAAGGTGCAGAATTCAGAATTGAGAAGGGAATTACATTATTACGGTTAGCATCACTCGTTCTAAGCAGTAAACCCTCGAGAACTATGGTCAACCGAGAAAAGATTTAGCAAATAATCTATGATTTTACAACTTCGCTAAAACGAAGGATTAGGGTTTAGCTAACTACAAAAGGGGAAGGGAAACAAAAGGAACCTGTAATGGTGCCGTGAACAACGGTTCCATTCTTGAGCTCAATTGACACCGTTTCATTGTTCAACTTCATCAAAAACCTGCTCAATTTGTTTATTTCAAATCAACTCCATTATATTAACCATCAAAAATGAAATCACCACATCAATTCGTACAAACAAAGAAAATGCAAAAAAAAGTACAATAAATCGTGATAATCAACAAACTGACCTGACGAGCTTCATGTTGGAGGAGAGTTAGGGCTTGAGGCAAAGGCGAGAGAGGCTATGGAACTGTGTGAGTAAGCGGGAGAGGGAGGTGTCTGTTTGCTGCCGATTATGCTTTTGGGAGGGCGAATTTAAGACTTGGGCCAGTACTGGCCTTCTGAATTTTTGAGTTTATTAAAACTAAAACGACGTCGTAGCTAAAATAATTGATGCATTCTTGGGCCAGTATGTGCCCAAAGTTCTCCCAGCGACTTCTATTGTAGAATAAAGTTTAGGTCAAAATATGATTATGGTCCCTTTAGTTTGCTTAAGCTTGTGTTAAGTCCTTTAATTTAATTTAACATAATTTAATTTAATCCTCTAATTTTATAATATCATTAATTAATATAAGCAGTTGAAGTCGATAAAGTTTTTGATTAAAAGACTAATATGGATTTTTTAAATCAATATTCTTTAAACTCATCTTGTTCACATAAATTTTTTGTGTTGGAGAATCTTTTAAAGAAAAAATTCACATCAATGTTTCACTGAAATAGTTAACTATTTAAATACCTAATTATATTATAAAAATAAAGAGGTTAAACTATATCCAAATTAAATATGATATTTAAGTTTTAAATTCAAATGTGATAAAAACATTAGATTTTGTTATATTTTTACTGTCGTACGTCAAAGAAAATATTCTATATGAAAAAATATATTCATTGAACTTTATTCGTTTAATAATTTTAAATGAAATGGTAAGTAATTTGTATTCAAATCTACTATTAATATGCTCAATAAAAATCTACTACTCCTTCTCTCTAATAAAAAAAATTGTTTATTATTAATGTTATTTTTAAAATTTTAACTAATTATTATTTAAAATATATTGTTAATAAAAATATATTTTAAAAATATTCTGTTAGGTAATTTTCAAATATATATATATATATATATATATATATATTATAAAATTTAAATATTTAAAATAATTATGGTAAAAACTTTAAAAATTTTGACTTTTAAAAGATTACTAATAAACTATTTTTATGGGATAGAGGAAATATTAATTTGTTCAATTTGTAAGTAGTGATTTTAATTTATTTTATTTAAAAACATTATTAAAATAATATATATTATACTCTTAATTAAAGACAATTTAATAGTTTTCAACAGAATACATATCCTATACACAATTAACATAAACTTTTATTTGGAATTCAAGAAAAGTATTATATCAAACAAATATTTATCCACATACCATACTGCTAAATGCAGATTGTTAATCTTTCACGGCTTATTACTCACACAGATTATGATTTGCAGAAATCAAATAATTCTGAAAGGTAAAAGGAAGAAGTTTGAAAATCAGTGTATGTGATGAACCATGGCCATGCCATATAATCTTAAGCATTAGACGTGAAGTTGAAGTTGGCGCAAGTAGTTTGCCTGCCCAAGAGTGTAGCGGTGAATCCCAGCCTTGAAGTTGCCAAATCAAACTGCAGAAGAGTGTTCTCCAGTTGGTGCCCTCCAATGACAATGGAAGTCCTTGGGTTCGATCCGCCATTAACAAATCCAAGACATAACACATCCCTGCTGACCTCGACCATCGAGTTCGCACCAAAAATCCTCCAAAACACGTCCTGGTTCTGCAACACAAGATCAATTGATGGCACTGCTGGTCCTAAGCGAGTGCTTAAAATATTACTCGAGCTGAAGCACACTTCAAATGGCGCTACGCCAGCAACCCTGGTGATGTTCATGGCAGCAGCTTCGTTAATGAATGCCTCGGTGACGGCTTTGAAGATCGAAGCCTCGAGGACGGTGTAGGGATCTACTGTGCTGATTTTTGTGCCCCCGACACCTTGGTTGTCTATGGATAATAACGTTGTGTTCAACGAGACGGTTTTTTCATTCACTTTGATGGACTTTACGCCTATGAAATATTCAGCGGAGGGTTCGCCCATGGGGAAAGCGGAGGCAGTGCTGACGGGGTTGATTAAGAGTGGTGTAAAAGTAAGCGACTGTGATGCGTCGATTCCAGGGAGGAACACGTATGGACCATCTCCGAAGAAAATAACACCATTTGCTGAGGTTGAAGACGACAGACAAACGGCGAATTTCCTATGGAAACTAAAGGCGGCAGCGAATTGCGAAGGGAGCCCAATTCTAGTCCTCCCCAGCCCAGCCATGCCTGCAACACCGCTAGCCAGACCTTGAAGCAAGAAAGTCGGTGCACAAGCGAAAAGGAATCTGGGTACACTGACCACCCTGCCTGGATTCCTCCCATCGGTTGACTGAAGAGACACAACATCTTGGGCAACCTCACCGGAGGTGGCTGTGTGGGTCACCGAGTTATCAGGTGTGACACCACATGTGTTGTTGTTACACCCCGGCCTAGGTGCAGAGAAGCAATCGCCGCAGCCATCGGCTCCGGCCAACGAACATTGGGCTGAACGGCACCTGGCGGGACGGTATGTTGAAGAAACGTAATCTCGTTCACAATCAACCCACATAAACCTGTCACCGAGATCGACTACGAGATCGATGGGAACAAGGGGGGTCCTTTGGTCAATGGTGGTGAGGTATTGAAGTGTAGAAGCATCTTTAGCGACAGGGATTACCAGGGCCTTGGGGCGGAAGGACTGTTGAGCTAAAGATGGAGAAGAAATGTAAAGTAGCAGACAAGTGAAGAAGAAACACCGAAGGGAAGCCATGGATATGTCTAAATCTCGATAAGATGAAAGGTAAATGGGTGCTGAAGATCGACGTTGAAATCCAGCTCTATTTATAGCTGAGCTGATTGCCGAAGACACGCTTCCCACCGCCCTGAAGGTCAAAGCAGGCTGCTAGAAGCAAAAGCCAGCCAGCCAGATGCTGTGGACGTGGCGGCATGGATTACAGAAATCTAGACTTTTGACCATATTATCTTAATCTCTTTGCGCTGAAAATATACATCTTGCATTATCATCTCATTATTTATAATATAATTTTCATATAATTAATTTTTATTGTTTATTAGAGTTTTATTACTATGTAATTATAAAGTGTTTTTTCTTTGTTTATTTCGTAGAAGTAATGGCTTCCTTGACTGAACTTTCATTTTAGTGAATAAAGTATACGCTATTTCAAAGTGTTATTCTTGTTAACATCTATAAGATATTATCATGTAATAATTGATTAGCATAGCGACTAAATAAATTGTTTTAAATAATTCAATTTTTATTTCAAATAAATTGCGTATATGTGTTTTAATATTAAATTCAATATTTTCATTGAATTATATAGTTCAATTATACTTTTTGTCTATTCTAACAGTTAGATTTTTGTTAAATTTAATTGAAGAAAAAAGAAACATATCTATTAAATTAATGCCAATTAATTTTTTTTATCAATTCTAATGTTAATTATTTTCTTTCCACGTGTAAATTTAAAAGTGAAAAAACAAAACCGTTTACATTTCTTTAAGATAAGATGAAACAAAAGTTTTAGAAGGTTTATATTTAGGGAGGATGATCGAATTGGATTTTTGGTTTATACGCGTATTATATCTTTTAATTTATTATTTTATTTAATTCGATTTTAGAGAAGTTTTATTTGATTTAAAAATTAATTTAACTTTTAGATAAAAATTTGAACTCGACTTAATACGATATAAATATATAATTCTCATTTTTATTATTTTTATAACTTGAATTGGATAAGACCCAAATCTAACTTTTTCTAGCTATAAAATTAAATTGGATCAAAGTACGTCGAGTCTAAATATCATATCTATCCCAAATTTTAGAAGATTTGCATTTATAATTAAGGAGGTTATGAGCACAAATTTGAATAAAATCTCATAACTTGGTAGCAACAGATATATATGTTCCGCATCCGAAAGCTAAAAGAGCAACCGAAAAAGATGAGTTGTGAGCGTCGGGTGCATCATATTCGCCATCGACCTTCGCATAAGTAGGTAACGCTGCATTTTTCGTCGACAACGACGGTATACTTATGATTAGGCTTCCAAAGGAAAGGCGGCAAATGAACCAGAATCTCACACACACACAAAGAGTCAATCTGCTTCAGCCATTCACAACAGTAGCGTTGTTCGGGTGTCTCACGAATCCCATGCTTATGCTTGTGCCTATGCCGGTGCCTGTGCCGGTGCGATCCAATATCCTCATGTTCATCTTCCGGCGGAAGTATAGGCACCATTGCGCACGCGAAGTTCACCAACGCAATTTGGGACCTGCAAAGTGGATGTCCGAAGGTTATTTGCTCGGGGATTAGGGTTAGGTTATTTGACAGTGCAGCGAAGAACATGGAGAAGAGAGATAATAGAGAAATCCCGAACTTTGATGCCATCATGGAGAGCTGTTTATCTTCAATATTTCATTGTTTTAGGTAATGTTTTGAACCTAAAAAAGAGGGGATTTGATGCCTCAGCTTTGGGTGTCCATTTCAATTTATACTCCGTGAACTTGTTGCCTGTGGCAATTGAATAAGAATATAGAAACAGCGGATGAGCAAGAGAATGAGGTGATGGTTTGTTGATGTTTTGGAAGAGTTCGGGTTCTCAATGCCTTTCATGTGAAGATTTTGTTAGGCGCAACTTGTGTTAATAACATACATACATGCATATATTATGAAATGATTTTCCATCATCCATCGTTGCGATCATTCGATCAATATGAAGTAAAAGTATATTATTTTTCTTCTCCTTCGGATTTTTCACCATTTTAATTTAAAATGAAATATTTTAAAGATAATGAACTAAAGGGAGTATAAAAATCTATATTTGATAGGAAAAATCCACATTTTGTGTTCTTTGTATAAATTGACCATAAAAATTTAATCACGTTAAAGACTTAATGGTCGAGATCAAAACAAACACATTATGAAAGTTTAGTGATTAAATTGATTTTTTTTTAAATTGATGTGACCAAACAAAAACATGAAAAGTTGAATGAGTAAAAAATTGTAGTTTACCCATAAAATAATTAGAAAATACTAGTCGCCACTCTTCTTCTCCAAAACTCTTACCTCGTCTTCTTATTTGTTTCCTATCATTCTCCCTTTCTCGCTTGAAAAGAGAGGTTTTTCTTTTCTTTTTTCGTTCTTGATTTTTGATCTTCAACTTTTCCTGGAAAACAATATTTTCTTTTTCCTTTCTCACGTTTAAATTCTATGTCTTTCTTTTCTCTGCAGCCAAACAGAGCATTGTTTCTTAAGTTTGTTTTTCGTTCGTTTCATGTTAGGATTCGTTTCTAATTATTGCTTCTCTCTTTTTTAAATTAATATACCAAATAAGGAAATTATTATTTTAAAACAAAAAAATTGGTCTTGCATATTTTTAATCTCCAAACATGGCACTAGGATTTCTATTTCTGGTTTATCTGATTCTATGATACTTGTATTTTATATTAATCCTATTTCTTCCTTTGTTTTTCTCCATTATGTTGGAAGAATTTTAATCACCAGCTCAATTGGTAGAGCACAAAGCTCTTAATCTTGTGGTCGTGGGATCGAGTCCCACGGTGAGCAATTCATAATTCGAATGTCTCCCACGAAAACTGCTTGTTGGGGTAGCCTACTATCCTACCTCCCCTTACCCCATTACATATGAGAATAAGAGTCTGCTAATTTTTGTTTGAAAAAATTAAACTCTTGGTAGTTTTACGTTTGCTTAACATGATTACAATTATGATTCTCATCGTGCATATTTTATTTATTGTTTATGACGTTGATTATAAATATTGTTACTTTATTTGCACGTTAATAGCTTTCCAGAATGGAATTTCAAAAGGTTTATAAATGCTTGATGCATATATTCCCGCAGGTGTTTCTTTTTACTCATTTGACCCTATACTGTTATTGGCTTACATATGTGCGTGTGTGTATATATATATATATATATACACCTCGGCGTCTGTGTGTGTTTGTGTGAAATGTGAAGTACAGAGTAGTAAATTGGAAAAATAAATGTAACAAATATGCAGTAAAAATATTTTTCTTACACCCTTCTGCACAGGTTGATTCACGTATTCTAAAATCTGTGGCTAATGGCTATTGAGAACTCTAAGGATGTGGATGCAGCTGCGGAGATTATTTTGTCTGAGATTCTGCCTTACATGTCTAAAAAGATGGTGACTGCTAGTTCTTCCTCACAGAGACAGAGTCCTCGCGTGCCTCGAAATAGAGGTATTCTTTTTCATGATCTAGTTCTTGACTTGTTTTATTCTAAATTTTGCTTTGGATGCTCATTTTCATGGATTTTTCTAAATTATGCAATATTGTTGTAGAATTAGATGTTTATATGTATGTTCAGTAATGTGGATTAGAGGGTAAATACCATTTTGTCCATTCATGTCTAGTATGTTGCGTAAGACGGTTATCGGATAAAGCAAAATCGCAACTGATAATTTTTAGAAAATAAAAATGAAGATAAAGAAGACACAAAATTTACTTGGAAAACCCCTAAATAATATAGGGTAAAAACCACGGGCAACGGTAGAAGAATTTCACTATGAGAAAAATAGGAATTACAACCTCTCTCGATCTACTAAGGAGAAAACAATGATAATTCTCTCTTGATAAAAAGGAGAAAACAACTCTCAAGAAACTCTCTAAATTCTCTATAGTATTGGAAGAAAGCTAGAATGCTTTGGGATGGTTTTGAAGCTAAATGAGCTAGGGTATTTATAGTTGAAACTTAAGGATTAATCTTGTAAATACTCTAGAGTCTAATGACTAAAGTTTGTGATTTGCCCCTACAAAAAATCAATAAAATTTGCAGCCATTTTGGACTAGAATTAGCCGCCCATTTGCCATTCCCCATTTGCCATTTTTGACCAAAGAATTCTGCAGCCACCAAAGCCACCAAATTTGACATTTGATTTTTAACAATCTCCCACTTAAATATTTGATTGGAACAATCATATCTTCACACCATTCTTTCTACAATGTACCTTCATGTTGCTTACGTCTCTGACAGGCCACAAGAGGATCGACACCAGGTAAATTTATCAGCGTTGATCGCCTTCGTCATGAAATCTTCTATGTTGTCTTTGATATGGATCTTCTGCATATTTATTGTCCCTTCTTCCACCTTTTCACGAATGAAATGGTACTGAACTCGTATGTCTTTTGTCATTGAATGAAATACTAGATTCCTTGCTAGATGCAAGGCGCTTTGACTGTCACAAAACAGAGAAACATACTCTTGATTGTGCCCAAGCTCCTCCAATAGCATTTTCAACCAAATTGCTTCTTTACTGGCTTGTGTAGCTGCTACATATTCTGCTTCTGTTGTGGATGTAGCCACAACTGACTGTAATTTTGAAACCCAGCTTACAACTCCACCAGCAACTTTAAACACATATCCTGTAGTAGATTTGCTTTTATCCAAATCCCCTGCATAGTCAGAATCTACATAACCATTTATTAGTAAGTTTGATCCTCTATAACATAATGTAACATTTGAGGTTCCTTTGATGTATCTCAGGATCCTCTTTACTGTATTTCAATGCTCTTTGCCTGGATTCGCCATGTACCGACTAACCACTCCCACTGCTTGTGCAATGTCTGGTCTTGTGCATATCATAGCGAACATTAAAATTCCCACTACTGATGCATACGGTACTCGAGACATCTCCATCATCTCTTCTTCACTGCTAGGACTCATACTGGAGGATAATTTGAAGTTAATAGGAAGAGGGGTAGAAATTGGCTTACAATCTTGCATGATGAATCGTGATAAGATATTCTTCAAGTAATTCTTTTGTGAAAGCCAAATCTTCCTATTACTTCTGTCTCGGTGAATTTGCATCCCTAGAATCTTGTTTGCTGATACCAAGTCATTCATTTCAAATTCCCTAGTCAGTTGTACCTTCAATTCTTCAATATGATCTTTGTTGGGTCCTGCAACCAACATGTCATCCACATACAACAACAATATAATAAAATCGTTATCACCAGACCTTTTGAAATAAGCACAAGGGTCTGCATTAAGTCTGTTGTATCCAAGGCACATAATGAAGGAATCAAATCTCTTATACCAACACCTCGGCGCCTGCTTTAGACCGTACAGAGATTTGTTCAACCTGCAAACCAAGTTCTTCTTTTCATCTTCTTCAAAACCTTCAGGCTGGAGCATATAAATCTCTTCTTCAAGATTTCCATGAAGAAAAGTTGTTTTAACATCTAGCTGTTCCAGATGTAAATTCAATGTAGCACACATTGTCAAGACTACTCGAACTGTTGTTAGTCGAACCACAGGAGAAAAAATTTCATTGAAATCAATACCTTCTTTCTGAGCATATCCTTTGACCACCAGTCTTGCACGATACATCTCCACTTGATCGTCACCATTTCGCTTGATTTTGAAAACCCATTTGTTACCAATTGGCTTCCTACCTTGTGGTAGTGGCACAAGGTCCCATGTATTATTTTTATGAAGGGCTTCGATTTCTTCTTGCATCACCATCATCCACAGTGAAGCATCTGAGCTGTTTATTGCCTCCTGATATGTTGATGGCTCACCGTCCTCTGTTAAAAGACATTATGCAACATTTCCTTCTATAACATAATCTGAGTGCCAATTGGGACGTCTTCTCATGCGATCTGATTAACGAGTTGTTAGAGCTTCAGAACTCTCTGGTTCTTGTTCATCATGTGCTGGTTCTGCTTCAGAAGAATCTCCTTGTTCAAACTCCTTTTCCACATGTATCTGTGTAGTCTCTAACTTTTCAGCACTGTCATCGTCTTCTTTTCTTTGTAGCTTATCTTCTACAAAGATAACATCCCTGCTAATTATCACTTTGTGGGCAGTGGGATCCCACAAGCGATACCTCTTTACTCCATCAGCATACCCCAAAAATTTGCATTTCCTAAATTTTGGATCCAGCTTTGAAATTTCTTGGGCGTTGTACATCACGTACACAATACTTCCAAATACATGGAGGTTTGAATAATCAACTGGTTTACCAGTCCATGTCTCCATTGGTGTTTTCAGCTCTATTGCAGTTGATGGAGCTCGATTCACCAAATAACAGGCGGTATTGACTGCTTCTGCCCAGAATGATTTTTCTAGGCCTGCGTCCCTCAACATTGCTCTTGTTCTTTCTAACAAGGTTCTGTTCATCCGCTCTGCCACTCCATTTTGTTGAGGAGTGTTCGCCACTGTGAATTGTCTTTTGATGCCTTCTTTCTTGCAAAAGTCATCAAATTCTTCGCTTGTGTATTCTCTTCCATTATCTGTTCTGAAACACTTGATCTTATTTCCAGAATCAAGTTCCACCCGCGCTTTGAAGTTTTTGAAAGTTGAAAACACATCTGACTTCTTCTTAATAGGGTACACCCAACATCTCCTAGAGTAGTCATCAATAAATGAGACAAAATATTTTGCTCCACCTAGGGATGTATCTGGTGCTTGCCATACGTCAGAGTGAACCAATTCTAGAACACTTTTTCCTCTAGAATTTGATTTGTTGAATTTCAACCGGTGCTGCTTACTTGTTATGCAATGGTCACACAAAGGAAGTGTTACCTTTGTTAAGCCTGGAAGTAGGTTTTCTTCCACAAGGACTTTCATTCCTTGTTCTGACATGTGTCCAAGTTTCTGATGCCATAACATTGCAGAATCTAAACTACATGAGGCAACAGAGGCTTCTGCTTCTAGCAAAGTCTCTCCCTTCAGCATGTACAAGTTTGCTGCTATCTTTTCGCCTTTCAGCACCACAAGCGCTCCACGGAACACCTTCATGATTCCTTTACGTGTTTCAATCTTGCTTGCATTATTATCCAACAATCCGTAAGATAATAAATTTTTCTTCAGGCCTTTCACGTGCCGCACATCTCGAACAACTTTGATTGTTCCATCGTACATCTTCAATTTGATGGTTCCCACGCCAATGATCTCTAAGGCATGATCATTGCAACTATACACAGATCGTCCTAAGCAGGTTCATATTGATGGAACCATTCTCTTCTTGAGGTCATGTGATATGTTGCTCCCGAATCAATGAGCCATATATCTGCAAATCGTTTTCTACCTTCCACGGTGGTTGACGCTTCACAACATAGAGCATCTCCATCATCTGAAGTGTTTGCGGTATTGCCTTGTGGATTGGAGTTTTTATTTAGACTCCAACAATCCTTCTTCAAGTGACCCTTCTTTCCACAGTGGTAGCACTTTAAATTCTTTTTGCTTCTTGACTTTGATCTATCATGTTTGTGACTGCTGCTTTGGCCACGTTCTGTTGATCTCCCTCTCATCGTTGTCAACGCTTCTACTTGTTGCATATTTACTTGTCTGTCTTCCTTATTGTTACGCCGATTTTCTTCTTGTAGAACAGCAGCTGCAACGTCATCGAATACTAGACTGGTGACATTACTGTTTGTCAAGTTGATGATGAGTTGATCGTACGAATCCGGTAGACTTTGAAGTAGAAGTTCAGCACATTCTTGTTCTCCTATTTTACAGCTTAAGGATGTAAGCTGAGAAAATAAGGTGTTCAGTGTATTTAAGTGCTCCGTCACTGAAGTAGATTATGACATACGGAGAGTGTACAATTTCCTCTTAAGGAAAATTTTATTGTGCAGCGATGTGGCCTCGTACAATTTGGTGAGATGATCTCATATCTCCTTAGTTGTCTTCTTCTCCTCGATGCTTGACAATACTTCATCTGCTAATGCTAGATGAAAGTTTGCCATAGCATTCTCGTCCATCTCGTTCCATTTGATGTCATCTGCGAAATCCACCGGCCTTTCATTTATAGCTGCTAGACACCCGTCTTTCCTTAGGATGACCTTCATCTTCAATTTCCACAATGAGAAATTTCTCCTATTGAATTTTTCAATATCAAATTTCGTTGCCATAGCTTCTTTTACGGATAGCTCCCACTATTTTACTATCGTGAATAGTTCTCTGGAACCTTCAAAGAATGGGTAATAACTTCTTATTTTCTTATGTTGAAGGATCCACCTTTTGGTGGCAACCATAAAGACAATAAGCAGATATTACACACTCTAATCTAGCTCTGATACCAATTGTTGCGTAAGACGGCTATCAGATAGAGCAAAATCGCAACTGATAATTTGAGAAAATAAAAATGAAGATAAAGAAGACACAAAATTTACGTGGAAAACCCCTAAATAATATAGGGTAAAAACCACGGGCAACGGTAGAAGATTTTCACTATGAGAAAAATAAGAATTACAACCTCTCTCGATCTACCGAGGAGAAAATAATGATAATTCTCTCTTGATAAAAAGGAGAAAACAACTCTCAAGAAACTCTCTAAATTCTCTATAATATTGGAAGAAATCTAGAATGCTTTGGGATGGTTTTGAAGCTAAATGAGCTAGGGTATTTATAGTTGAAACTTAAGGACTAATCTTGTAAATACCCTAGAGTCTAATGACTAAAGTTTGTGATTTTCCCATACAAAAAATTAATAAAATTTGCAGCCATTTTGGACTAGAATTAGCCGCCCATTTGCCATTTTTGACCAAAGAATTCTGCAGCCACCAAAGCCACCAAATTTGACATTTGATTTTTAATATAGTAGCCTATTGGGGCTTATTCATTCATCTATTCACCTGTTTAATGTCATTTTTTTGTTGAACTTGAAGCTTTTGATAAGGAAGAAGGCAATCAATTGAGGCAACAAAAGGTATTGTTGGTGAACATAGCATGATGTCCTTCAGATCCATTGTCGGAAGCAAATGAAGTTCTCAGAGACGTTGTTCTAACAGGTGTTGCTACTGGTATAGGTTCTGTTGAGGCATCAAGTACAGCGAGTACTTTAATAATCCACTAGAACAACAATAATGAGCCCGCTGATGTTGAAACTGATGAATTGATTTTGTTGGGGAACACAGAAAAATGTGCTGAAATTGGGAAAGCTATATCTAGTGTCAGCTTGAATGCTTTAGGGATTGATAATCTTCTGCCTTATGTGAATCTTGAAATTAAAGGGTCTGGACGTAAAGACCAAACTATTGTCATTGAAGATGGGATTGTGAGGACTCCTCCTGTGAGACCAGACACAGCTGATAATTCTACCTCACTTCTGACAAATACTGGTAGCAGTGGCAGATCTAATGATATTTTAAATTTATATGGTCCTGTAGATCTGAATGTCGTTTCATGTAGAAATAGTTCATTAAATGAAATCTTGATAGGGGAAGAATAGTTCCATCATCTTCTCAAGAACAAATGGCAGTAGCCCTGAGTGCTGGTATTCATTCTGAAAGCAATGACCACTCTACTGGTTCTGTGAAACAAGAAAGAGGTTCTATAGAACTGAAATCCCAGCAGGACCCCAGCAGTGATATGGGTGATATTGAGGATGATACCGTCAATCCTGCTGTTAGTCGGTGTAGTCAAACATGCAGAATTGATCTACTTGAAGAGGTCATTGAAGATGCTAAAAATAACAAGGTAATCTTTGCTCCAAACCTTTATCTCTCTTTTGTTAAATTTTGATGCTAAATGGGTACGAGAATGAATCCTCTGCAATGATAACTATGCCAGTTGTGGCATGGTGTACTTATTAGGTTTTGAATTCTGATGCTATTGCTTATATAAGAAGATTTTCTTTATGAAAAGTTAGTTCATTATTTCTTTTGTTCCATTTCGAGAGGGCATACCTTGGCTTACTATGTTTTGGTGTAGACAACCTTGTTTCAGGCCTTGCAGTCAATCATGGATTTGATGAGAGAAGTTGTACTTCAAGAGGAAGCTGCAGAACTAGCAAAAAAAGAATGTGCCAAGGTTTGTTTAGATATTCTCGTCAAGGTGGAGGAACTAAGACAGATGCTGGCACATGTAAAGGATGCAAATGACAAGGTTGTGCACTTGTTAATGGTCACATTTTTTTATTATTGTCAAGAGTATAGGACTGTAGCTCTATGATTATTTATAGAGTATGAAAGCTCAGCCAATGTTATCTCTTTTCCAGTATGCCGGAGAAGTGTTTGGGGAGAAGGCAATTCTAGTCACTGAAGGAAGGGAGCTTCAAAATCGCTTGTGCAGCTTGTCAGAGGAAAGAGAAAAATCTCCATTCTCGATGAGGTATTGTAGGAACAAATTAAATCATTTGGTAAATATTTAGTAGAAAATCTTGCCTTGATATGATTTGCTTTGGTATATAGTTCATTTATTTGTTATCTGTATGCCATAAATTATCTTGATCTTGGTTGTTCAATATGTTTCACCATGCATGAGGCATATGGAGAAGTTGGAAAAAATTTACGACATATATCATCTTGTGCAATGAACTAATGTTCAGTTGACTTTCTTTGTCCTGTGATAAATCAATCATTTCTTGAAACAGATTCATCACAGAAGTTTTTTTTAGAAATTTGTACTATAGATCATCGTGGGAATTTATGGTGTATTTAGCAAGGAATATGATATAGATAAGACATCGAGCTGGTTATACACTTATACTCATTCTTTTACCTGTACGCATTTATCCATAGATGCGTCAAACCCTTGAAGCTCGGCTAGCTGCTGCAAAGGAGTTGATGAAAGCAGGAGAAGCTGGAAAAAGAAGAATCTGCACTTAGTGCTCTTGCTGAGCAAGAATCCATTATGTCAAAAGTGGTTCAAGAGTCCAAGATTTTACAGCAGGAGGCTGAAGAAAATTCCAAGGTAGCTTTCATTTCTGTGTAATCTGTATTACTACTCACTGGTCTTAACAAAAGTTTGAAATAGATTACTTATTCGGACTTATTATGTTCTATGTTTACGCTCTACTGCAGTTACGAGAGTTTCTTATGGACCGTGGTCAGATTGTTGACTCATTACAGTAGGTTTTATTGCCCGGTTATTTACTTTTATCAATTAGCGTCAAACATTTTTCTCATACCATGCCTGATTATGTGTTTTTTATAATACTGTTGACTGGTGGTAGTGGTGATTTTGCAGTTAATTTGATCTGTTATTGGTAGTATCAAGAACGTAAATGAGTAGTGGGGCAGATATATGAATCACAATATATATGATAGTTTTCGTCTGGCATTTAGGATCCATCAGCACCACGAATATCCAACTCCTTGTGATAGAATGGGTCGATAACGATAAATGTATCGTATTTACTATTCTGTGGACATATTTCAAACAATCTTTGTGTTTTTAACAAATTAGCTCTGATTTGGTCTTTGCAAGAGGAACTGAATAGCAATGTAGGAATGGTTACATTTTACCGTTCATCCTTTCTGCAGGGGAGAAATATCTGGTATTTGCCAGGATGTGAGATAGCTTAAAGAGAAGTTTGATCAGTGTATCCCGTTGAGCAAATCCATATCCTCAAGCCAAACCAGCTGTATCCTGGCTTCCTCCAGCTCATCTCTGAAAAGCATGGCCCCGGATCTTAGTTCCGAGCGGGGAGAGACAACTAAAACACTAGAGAAGATAAGCCCAACACCATCCGTCGATGTACAATCACCGAAAAGTAGATCATCGGACGAATGGTACAAAACTGATGACAAGGAGCTAATCGATGAAGAGTGGGAATTTTTCGATGATGCCGAATTCAATATAGCACAGTGAAGCTATATTAATCTTCGATGAAACATAATCGAGGCCCCTCCCTCGGTTATAAATGGCTTTTACAAGTCTGATCATATTTATTTATTTAAAATTTACAATTCCGATCATATTTATTTATTTAAAATTTGTTTTCATTGTACTACGAATCAAACAATCTTAATAGTAATTGAATGATTGTTATTTTTTCAAATTTCAGATTTAAACATCATGAATATTAGAGATATAAACTTTAATAACAATAATTAATAATTATATTTAAACAAATATTAATTTATAATTACTCAAATTAATAAAAAAATATATATATTACCTCATGTCCAATGTCCATACCCCTACAGCTTCGGACCACATGCTCATACGTCAAAAATCCTCTTTTTCACCATAGCACTTGTTATCTCCAGATCCTTCCACGTGTATGAGCATCACTCGTGCTTAGCTGAGTTAAAGGCGCACTCGCGTCCCCCACTCGCTTCCCATCCAACACGTGGTATCCTCTAGATATTTTTGAGCCATGAAAATGATATCTCGTCTTTCGCGATCACTACGATACGTAACGCCTGACGTTAGATTCTCCATCACGGCATTTAACGCAATGTCCTTTCAACACGCGTCTGCCTTGCTCAATCGTTACCTACCACGTGTTAAAAGTATCTAGAGAAGCAATCATCCATTCGGAACACGACACGTGTCCCGCGTTTTGAGTTTCAGACATCTGATATTTAGCCGTTTAGGTTCGTTTCAGTACCATCGCTGTCTGGATCGGTCTGATTTTCAGTGTTCTGTTCTGCTCCCCATCCAAATAATGAGTGCCACCCAAAGACGCAGACATAATGATGAATCCGAGTTGGATGACTCGGGGATACTAAACGAGCGAATTCTCCTACTCGTCTTTGAGTCAATAAAATGGGACTTACAGGTCCTCTGTTTAGTTTCTTCTGTGAACCACAAGCTTCGAGCTATAGGGAAGCGGATTCTATGGAGAAAGCTCTGCGTGTTTCGAGCACCGCGGATGGTTGCAGCATTGGCAAACGGTGCCCCCAATGGAAGAATTGGTGGCGGATGGGATGCGCTCGCGAAGCTCATGTTTTTCTGCAGCGGTTGTGAGTCAACTCGTCATTTCAAAGTGAGTCGGCCTACTCCGGGTCATTTCGCCCGATCTTCTCGGTTTTCCAAGACGTCGGGTCGGAGCTTCTTGGCGAAAAGGTGCCGGAGTGATTTGTTGTTCATAAGTGATCCGTGCGAGCATCCAGTGGGAGGTAACGAAGACCATCTGGGAATATACCGAGGGATATTTCGGGGATTCATGAGATCCAAGACGAGAGCTTGCTTGATCGGACGGCAAGTAGCTTTTGAAGAGAGCGTGAGGTGTCCTTATTGCGGCACCCGAGTCTGGAGCATGACGGCGGCTCGGCTCGTCCCCAAGAGCGCGGCTGGACGGCTCGGGTCAGGCGACCGACGGCTGGAGTATTTCGTTTGTGTGAACGGGCACTTGCATGGGGCTTGCTGGCTCATACCTCTGTCGTCCGATGAAGAAGTTTGCGACGATGGAAGCGATGAAGATCTGGACGGCGATGATGAGATCGACAGGGACGCGTGTAGCCATCAGACGGTGACAGACGGAAGCTCGAGCTCCTTAGGGGAAGATGTTTCAGGAGGTGGATCCATCGATTAATTGCTATTTGCTAAACTTGTAAGTACACAATTTTTGCGCGTATTTTAAGGAAGAAAGAGAGAGTAGCGGATCACATTGTCCGGGGTCGTTCTGCGGTGCGGCGCCTAAAAAACGGTTAATATACGGCGTGACCGGTTAAACAAGTGACCGATTAAAATTTAGACCGGTTATGTTATATTATTTAACCGGAAATATTATAAAGTACAATAACATACTAGGTAGCGCTTATATAATGTAATAGGTAGCGCTTATATTTACCTATTTTATAAGTAAACCAGTATATTTATACCGATAGCATTGCAAATTTACCTATTACATTATATTATATTGAAAGTGTCCATACTTTTTATAAAAAGGATCGATACTTTTTTTAAAACTTATGTAATTTATGTTTCAATTTTTTTAACAGTGTTTCATGTTTTCCACCTACAATATTGATTTAATAATTTCATTTGCACAAAAAATTATTTGATTGTTTTTATATTTATAAAATATTATTTAGAATTTTAAATTTAATAATAATATATACCGTAACGTAAAAAATAAATCATTAGACGCCTATAATTACTAAATTAATATCTTAAAACTCACTCAAAAGATAACCTTAAATTAATGTTTTCCACAGTGAAAAAAGTATGGACACTTTTATAAAAAGGATAGACACTTTACAATATAACCATTACCTATTACATTATATAAACGATACCTATTACATTATATAAGGGCTACCTATTACATCATATGTTTACCTATTATATTGAAAGTGTCCATACTTTTTATAAAAAGGATCGATACTTTTTTTAAAACTTATGTAATTTATGTTTCAATTTTTTTAACAGTGTTTCATGTTTTCCACCTACAATATTGATTTAATAATTTCATTTGCACAAAAAATTATTTGATTGTTTTTATATTTTATAAAATATTATTTAGAATTTTAAATTTAATAATAATATATACCGTAACGTAAAAAATAAATCATTAGACGCCTATAATTACTAAATTAATATCTTAAAACTCACTCAAAAGATAACCTTAAATTAATGTTTTCCACAGTGAAAAAAGTATGGACACTTTTATAAAAAGGATAGACACTTTACAATATAACCATTACCTATTACATTATATAAACGATACCTATTACATTATATAAGGGCTACCTATTACATCATATGTTTACCTATTATATTGAAAGTGTCCATACTTTTTATAAAAAGGATCGATACTTTTTTTAAAACTTATGTAATTTATGTTTCAATTTTTTTAACAGTGTACTGCGAATTTAAAATGATAATATACTTGTAGTTATTTTACATACCTAAATATGTACTGCGAATTTAATGTTGTACCCACCCTTTAACTACAGAAACATGTTCAAAATGAACCTTCGTTTACATATCCATCAACTCCTGGAGCACTGAACTTGCACAACAAAATTTTTGCCATGGATAATACTGATGTAGACAATGTTAAGCCAACCGAGGAATGCCATGAAGTACATAATGTTGATGAATCTGACAGATTGGTTGGTCAGCTCTTCTGTTCACGTGATCAAGCTTGGCACTTTTACAAGGGATTCGCACGGGAACATGGGTTTAGTGCACGTAAGGGAACAACACGGCTTGACGTGGAAGGGAATGTGAAGACACAAGAATTTTGTTGTTCCAAAGAAGGGTTTCGAGTATCAAAAGTCAATACTGTTGATCGTCAACGTGCTCATACGCCAGTCACAAGAACAGGATGTAAGGCTAGAGTCGTAGTTACAGCAACAAATACAAACGATCAGTGGGTTATAAGTAAGTCTGATCAGAAACATAATCATGCATTGTGCACATCTGCTATGACACCATTTATGCGTTCTAATCGAGCTGTAAGTAAGGCTGATATCGATGAGGCAACAACATTGAAAGAGGTCGGTGTTGGCACGTCACAAGTAATGAACTATTTAACGCAGCAGGCAGGGGGCTATCATAATGTTGGATTTACACATAAAGACCTCTACAATGCACTTCAAAGAGGTAAAGCAAAGGAAATCGTCGATGGGGATGTGAATGCGCTTATTGCCTACTTTGATTATAAGAAACATGATGATCCCGGGTTTTTTATGACATACTCGGTAGACGAATCGGGGGCATTGTATAATCTTATTTGGTCGGATTCTACATCGAGATCGGATTACACATGCTTCGGTGATGTAATTGCGTTCGACACAACGTACAAAGATAATTTGTATGGTCGACCAATTATGCCTATTGTTGGTGTCAATCATCACCATAACACAATTGTGTTTGCCACTGCCATAATCGCTGACGAAACGTCTCAATCTTTCGAGTGGGTGCTACAGAATTTTTTAGAAGCCATGATGAATAAATCACCTATTTCTGTTGTAACCGATGGGGATAGGGCAATGCAGAGGGCTATCAAATCTGTTATCCCTTATGCTAAGCACAGATTATGTTCTTGGCATCTTTCTCGCAATGCACAAGCTAACATTGGTGACCCAAAGTTTACAGCAGCATTCTCAAAATGCATGGCTTCCTGGTGGACAACCAAGGAATTTGATATTCAATGGCGTTCGATTGTTTCAGAATTCAACGTCCAAAAGCATCCATGGGTGATTGAGAAGGGAAATACACGACACTTATGGGCACAAGCATATCTAACCGGTCATTTCTTTGCCAATATTCGCTCAACACAAAGGTGCGAGTCTATGAATGCTTCACTAGCTATTGCACTGAAACACAAGAAGACATATTTAGATGTTGTTCGTGCAATTGAAGATGGAATTAGTAGAATGCGTATGAACGAGTTGAAAGCGGATTACTTAAGTTCCCATACGAAGCCCTTCCAGATCACAAAACTGGTCGACCTTGAAAGCCATGCCACTGCGATTTTTACCCGCGAATCTTTTCGTGTGTTCCAAGATGAACTTACACGGGAGACATTGTACCGGATTGAGGCAGAGATTAAGTCCTTATCAGATGAATGTCAACATTATATTTTGTCAAAGTACGCAGAAAAAATAGGAAATTTGAAATTAGTTTTGATTCTCGTACGAAAACTCTAATTTGCTTCTGCAAAAAATTCGAGACCGTTGGACTTCCGTGTCGCCATCAACTTCACATTTTGAAGCAATTGGACTACACATATTTGCCCGGGACTTTGATTCAAAGTAGGTGGACTAATGATGCGAAGGCTTCTGCACCCAGCTATGTTGATTTGAATGTGTCTCCAGAAGTGATGCAAATGGCAAGGTTCGCTGCTCTACGTTCAACGTCAAGTAGGTTATGCTACATTGCATCAAAGACAGACGAGTCTTTCAAAACCGCAAGAGATGAGATGAAAAAACTAATAGAAGAATTAGAAAACTCGTTTGGTTTGAATCATTCAGTCAACCAGAGCATTGTAGTAAACAATGTTCGTGACCCTCAACGAAAACAACGCAAGCGAAAAGAAGTGCCGAAGAACAAGGTCGAGAAGCAAATTAGGCGATGTGGGTACTGCAACGGTGAGGGGCATAACAAACTAACATGTCCTCAAGTCAAGCTTAGTTTGAGTACAAGCACACAGCCTACATCAACTGATTTTTTCGAAGACGGAATGGAATGACAACGATCTCCATATAATATATCGTAAGTATCAACATCACTCCTATTGTATGTACATGTAAATATTTTGAATGAAGGAAGAAAAACCGCGTTACTTCAAATTACCGACACTTTTTTAAATGGTATGGACATAAAGTACCGACACAATATTATAAAGTGTCGATATAGGTTGTAGACCTATTCGCTCATAAAACCGGTATATTTATACCGGTTATATTACAAAATTATCTATTACATTATAATTATGGGTTCCGATGTGTAAAATGTCGACACTTTTTTAAATCGTATTGACACATTTTTCTTCCAATATGGACATAAAGTACCGACACAATATTAAAAAGTGTCGATATAGGTTGTAGACCTATTCGCGCATAAGACCGGTATATTTATACCGGTTATATTACAAAATTATCTATTACATTATAATTATGGGTTCCGATGTGTAAAATGTCGACACTTTTTTAAATCGTATCGACACATTTTTCTTCCAATATGGACATAAAGTACCGACACAATATTAAAAAATGTCGATATAGGTTGTAGACCTATTCGCGCATAAGACCGGTATATTTATACCGGTTATATTACAAAATTATCTATTACATTATAATTATGGGTTCCGATGTGTAAAATGTCGACACTTTTTTAAATCGTATCGACACATTTTTCTTCCAATATGGACATAAAGTACCGACACAATATTAAAAAGTGTCGATATAGGTTGTAGACCTATTCGCGCATAAGACCGGTATATTTATATCGGTTATATTACAAAATTATCTATTACATTATAATTATGGGTTCCGATGTGTAAAATGTCGACACTTTTTTAAATTGTATCGATACATTTTTTTTCCAATATGGACATAAAGTACCGACACAATATTAAAAAGTGTCGATATAGGTTGTAGACCTATTCGCGCATAAGACCGGTATATTTATACCGGTTATATTACAAAATTATCTATTTTATTATAATATGTTGAAAGTGTCCATACTTTTTTATAAAAAGGATCGATACGTTTTTTAAAGATATGTAATTTATGTTTCAATATTTTTTAAGTATGTTTCATGTTTTCCACCTACAATATTAATTTAATAATTTCATTTGCACAAAAAATTAGTTGATTGTGTTGATATTTTATAAAATAATATTAAGAATTTTTAATTTAACAATAATATATACCGTAACGTAAAAAATTAATCATTAGACGCCTATAATTACTAAATTAATATCTTAAAACTCACTCAAAAGATAACCTTAAATTAATGTTTTCCACAGTGAAAAAAGTATAGACACTTTTATAAAAAGGATAGATACTTTACAATATATTAAAAAAGTATAGACACTCAAATGTATATGTACACATAGAAGCAAATATGGAATAATTAATGAAAATATACATACAATATAATCACACCAAAATTTAAATACACAAGAATGTTCAAATAATGTACCGACAAACAAA